AAGTGTCTATTTAAATTCCGAATTAAGCCCATGGCTTTTGTTCATCTTCTTCCCTTTGCAACCTAACTTCTGAAAAGAGTCGTCTACCTGTTTTTCCCCTTCCTTCAACCCAAGTTGTTGCCACCATTCAACTGGGACTGTCCTTTCTAAGGTCACCAGACTCCTACTTCACATGCGCTGGGCCCTTCTTAGCACTCCTGCTGAAACCGTTTCGTCTGCGCCGTTCGTAGGGGAGCCCTGCTCAGGCTCTGCGGGGCCTTCAAGTGCGGTTTCACTGGAGGAGTCCCACTTTCCCAGGCCAAAAGTTGTTTCGTATTTTGTTCCCCATCTTGAAAAGGAAGTTAGTTCTAAACACAGAAATCGCCTCCCTTGCACAGTCTCAGGGTGTGCCTTCTCCGTGTGACTCCTGTCCCTTTGGGTCACCTCAAGAGTGCTCAGGCCCTGGTCACCAGCACGCTGCTGTGGCTCAGGGCAGCTCTGCTTTGTAAGCAGCAGATGGGACAGCTAAACGCACTCAAAATGTGCCTCCATGCGGGCTATTTTGTCTTTATGCAAGATGCCTTCTGACATTAATCCGAAACTTCCCCTTTCTGCAGGCTTCAAAGGCAAATCCAAACCCAACCTTCTGAAGCAGGAGACGAGCAGCCTGGCATGTGGGCTGCGCATTCTCTTCCGGATGTACATGGACGAGAGCCGGGTTAGTGCCTGGGAGGAGGTCCAGCAAAGGCTTCTAAAGTAAGACTCTTGGCTGAGTTTCTGCCTTTGAGCTGTGCGGCTGACGGTACAGAGCAGGAAAGGGCCACTAGGTTTGCACTGGGGGCAGCATCCATGTCCCAGCCCCCTGCTTAGAAGCTGCAGGACTAAGCAGATAACTTGGGGCCTGAGGAAGAGATGGTGAAAATTAAATACAGTCTTACAGGCAGTTAGTGACATATGAACAAATCGTGTCTTCTGCTGCTGTTCAGGACAAAGGAGAAAGTTTTATCTCTTAAAATTTAAAAACTTCAAATTGTATAATAGTTTTTAGGCTTTTTTCATGCACAGATAGCTCCATTTTTACAAATCGATCATTTGTGAAAGTGCAAACTTGCCTGCCTGCATTTAGTTTCCAAAACTATTTAGAGTTTTTGTTGGTGTTAGTTTTTTCGCATTTTATTTCTCCTTAATGACAACTTAAGAGTCCGTCCTTCACCGGTTAAACTAATGCTAAGAATGAAACATGCCTTTCAGAAAGAATACTCTTAGCTGCATTGTATTTCTGTGTCTAATTGGAGAATAGAGGTGCTCAGAGACCAAATACATTTTGGAACTTCCAAAGACCACCTCACCTCAGTTTTCCCATTTTACTGATGAGACTATTAAAGCCCAGAAGAGTCTAAACCTTCACAATTAGTGAAAGGAAGAGCCACCCCAGGTTTCAGCCCAGGTCTGGACACCATGCCTGTGCATGTGCTACTACACAGTGGCTTTGAATTCAATGAAATTTAGAAAATTAGGAAAATGTGCGTTTCCTGATAAGTTGCAATGGCTTCTTTTAATATGTTTGGTTTTCTTCCTAATTTGAAAAACATAAATGTTTATATTGATACTCTAGTTACTGTAAGCACATGGAATCTAGCAAGTTCCTAATAGTTAATATTTACTGCCCTCTTTGCCTCAGTTGTTCTTTCTCAATGAACGTGCATACAGCAGGTATGCTAGCACATTTAAGGGGGACCGTTCTCTGTTACAGTGTCTGCAGTGAAGCACTAAGCTACTTCCTTACTCTGACATCAGAAAGTCATCGGGAAGCCTGGACTAATCTGCTGCTTTTGTTTCTAACTAAAGTTCTAAAGATAAGCGATAATAGGGTAAGTATGAGACACTGTCGTCTGAGCAGCACGGTGCCCAAGTGGGAGGCGGGGACGCGCAGCAGCAGACGGCTGCCAGGAGCTCTCAGCAGCGGAGCAGCAAAGCCCAGGCCACCGTGGCCGCACTCTCTCCTCGCTGGCCCGCAGTCTTCTCCGTCCCTACCCCACTTTGTGCTCCAATGAGTGATTCTGTAGGAGATTCAGGAGGGAGGAGTCAGAATCCTTTAGGACACTGGTTCTGCCACACATTGCAATTCCCACTCTGACCCCTGAAGTCTCCCCTTTTGCCCCATTGTGAAAAGTGCGCTCTGCCCCCTACCCAAGGCTATGTCTGGGCTTCAGCCATTCTTTTGGCATTTTTATTGGTTCCATGTGACCAACAGCCCCTTGCAAACAGGCCATAAACTCATTTAAGAATTTTAAACCAGTAGAAATAAAGATAAAATACAAATGCACAGCTGTACATAGACATTTAAAGTCTTCAAAACTACACATTTCACTCTTTAAGAGAAGACAGACACTTACAGCTCACATAAATGGAAACAGGTTGCTGTGATCCCATATTAGGTTTAAAAATGCCTAGTCAGGTGGTATGACGTTTGACACCGGGCCATGGAGGCGTATGGGACGCCAGAGGGCTGTGCATGCTCTCAGGGCCATACAGAGGTTCATCCCAAGTCACGTGCTCAAGGCCCATGTGCATTTCCATCTGACTCCTGGGCTGGGTAAAGTTAGAAGTGACCTAAGGCGCCAGCAGCCACGTCGCTGGGAAGGACTCCAAACCCAGTCTTACTCCACAGCTTGCTTTCTTGACACAATTTGTCATCCTGCTTCCTTGTACCTTGTGGGGTGCGGAGAGCAGGAAAGTAGAGGAAACAGGCAACTAGTGTTCAGAGATTAAGGAACTACAGCAAAGATACAAAGTATATCAGTTGAAGTATAAGTGTGGAATATTTTCCCTAAAAACTAAAATTTTATTTAACAAATAAAAGATAATTTCAATAACCTATAGCTTATAGAAGCTCAAGTATGCTTGACTTCTTACTTTTGCTTATTACCCAGGAAAAACAATGATAAATCCTAAAAGTTTGTCGTAAGTTTGTCAAGGAAATCTAATAGAAAATGTTTTTCAAAATAAGGCTGTATAACTAAGTGATTAATGTCTGTATTAAGTGAGTCTTCAGTGCTGCGTGGCCTTTCAGTTCCGTAATCAGCACATCACTGCTTCACGCAGACGCCGCTCCTGTACTCAGAGAGCAGCGCGTGCCCCATAGGATTTGGTCTAACGGCAGTGTGAGGTTTGGAATGCAAGCACTACTAACGGAGAAATTCGTTTTCTTCCCAGTTTAAAGCTCATGCATCATTCTACTACCCTCTCCTATGTGAAATTATGCAATTTGACTTGATTCCTGAACTTCGTGCTGTTCTTCGAAGATTTTTTCTGCGAATCGGAGTAGTTTTTCAGATATCACAGCCACCTGAGCAGGAACTTGGAGTAAATCAGCAGTGATGGGAACTTAGTATTTTTCTGTTGGCGTTTACGTCCTCTGCTCTTTAAACGGACCCTGGAGCTGAGGGCTCCTACCGGAAAAATGGTTTCTCTGAATTGCAGTGTCTAAGGGTTACTGGTAAAGATGCTTAGAACTAGAACTCAGAACTTGGCAGTGCTCCAGTCCCTTCTGATGGACTGTCCGTCATGGGCTCATGTTGAGCAGAAAGCCTGTTTCCACATTGTCAGCTTATGCTCATGTGTCCTTCCCTGTCCTCAGCAACAGGGAGAGCCCCACATATTTTTGGCAGGCGTGGAAGTGAAACTTACCCAAAGAACTATAGATGTAAAGATTTGAACTTCTGCAAGAAGTACAACTCAGGAGAGCTGTATTTTGAAGGATAAAATGTTTATAATTGGGGGGTGGGGGGGAGAAGAAGAAATTATTGTTCATGGTAAAAGATATTTAGCAACTATGGTATTCTTATTCTGAAGATTTTTGCACACTCAGGCTATCTGAGATACTGGTAATCATCCTTCTGTGAAAAATGTACAGAGATGCAGGTCTGTAATATAAAAATCTTAAACATTATATAGTTCTTCCTGCACTGTTTTATTTTATTTCTTTATTTTCTTATTCATTTGCTAAATACCTATAATATTTTGTCAAATGCACTAAACATTTGGGTTGAACTTTCTGTCTTTTTTATTTTGTGGGAATTTTGGTTCTGCCCTTTATTGGGGAGTGGTAATTCTGAGGGTTTAATGTGCCCAGAAGCTGTTGTGGCTGGCACTTGTTACGATCAACAACAACAACAAAAAGGTAGAAAATATCCCTACTGACCTAACTACCTGTAATATATTAGGGCTTTTAAAGATGAGCCATTAAAATAGAAATGATCCTTCATGGACCGAAACTTGAATCACTGCAAAATGAATCTAGTTTGCTGTCACTTTCTTTTCTTTTCTTTTGGGTGGCGGGGCTTGGTGTAGATTTTACTGTATGTACAGAATTTAATGTTGAATATATTAAAATAAATCTGGCATGGTTTGGGGAGGTTAGATTTACTGGAAATGTATTCATACTGTGAATTGTGCTCTGATGGTTAAAAAAACAAGATTGTTAAGCATTCCGTATTAACAGTGGATGTAGAAAATTTTTTCAGATGGATAAAATGTATATGGTACAGATGTAAAGTTTTCTATGTAAAAAATTCTGTACAACTTTCTGTACAATATTGATTCTCATCTGGCATATTCTAATCAGGTTATAGGTCAATAAAGTTTTTGGATTATTTGATCAGTGCAATCAAAACCTGTGTAATCCACAGCCCCATGTTTCATTGATTTTTTTTTCCCTTCACTTTTTCCATTAAAAGCCAAACAATTAGGAAAGGATATTTTTGGCCAGAACTATAAATTCAGTATTCTTTAATTCGGATGTTTTCTTAACAGCTTCTGCCATGAGATCCTCCCCCACACCCTGCTTTCTCAACCATAGGATGTTCATAATATATTGTGCATTTATTAATAACCCAGAATAAGGCTACACTATTTGCTGAAAAAGCTGCAGTCCCCTTCGGGGCAGTTTGCAGTGGCGCATCGTCCATCCCAGGAGTCACTTCAAGTTGTGTGGTACAACAGCATTAAAAAGGCAGATGGAACACACCAAGATCATTTATTTTGAGGGCTGTGTTAAAAAACATGAGAAGTGTTCAGTCTTTGCTCTCACACCTCTCTTGAGAATAAGCAGTTACTGAACAATGCATTTCTAAGTGCACCACCTTTATTACCCCCAAGACGTGGCCCTGTTCATACCCCGCTGGATGCTAGAGCTGGGAGCCACCATGACTTTCTGGCCTAGCTGAGGGAGGGGTAAGTGTCTCAAATGACCTGGCAGTTTGGTGTTTTATGGTATAGCCTCAGGACGCTCCCAAGAGGAGACGAGGCTTTCACCTTACTTTCAGATGACGATATAAGAAAAATCTTTACCGTAAAATAAGCAGTGGTTAGATTTCAAAATTGAGTATAAAATTTACATGCAGCTAAAATTCAGAATATCAGAGAAATTTCACACTTGAGAGAAAAACTTTTCTGGTCTTGTCTGCCATTAATTATGTCAGTGGAACACCAGGGATGTTCTTAGCTGTTGTGCTAAAGACTCTAAATAAGAATTATTATTTCCCAGCATTTGAATTAATCTTTCCTTTTCAAAGGCCCCTCCTGGAGTGATTAGGAAGACTGGCTCACTTATCCGGTGGTCTGTGGTAGTGCAGCAGGGACCCAGTCTCTGTCCTTGACCCTTGGGTGTTCCTGCCTCTCTGACTTCTAAAACAACTTGTCTAGAAACCTCAATTCCAGTTAAAATAAGAAATCGACATTGGCAATAAAAATAATTTATTTCTATCAAGAAGTAGTTAAATCATATAAATCAGTACACTTAATGCCTAGATTGGCACAAAAATAGAGGCAGAAAGTTGTAAGGTTTAGTGCATGGCTCATGGGAATCAAATGAATTACGATTCCCAGCATTCATACTGACACAGGTGCTGTAAATGACAATGGAAATAACTAGCATATTTGATTCTCTCATTACATAGCAACTGGAATTGTCCCAATGTATTTACTAAGAGATCTTGAATAGCGTTAACAATGGCAAACATACATATAACAAGGAGTATTCTGGTTTTACAGTACTGTTAAGACACTTGTGTTTTATTCGCCTTATCTTACTGACAAGCAGAATTTAAATTAATGCACATATGGTAGTTGATTCCAAGAGTTCACTGCGACCCTAATTTCTGGCAAAATTGTACAAAAATAATTCTATACAATTCTACATTATATAAATTAATAATCATGGCCTTTTATTTATGTACATCATATACATCATCATGGGAAAAAGATACCTTATCTACAGATGGAACATAAGTAACTTCCAGGTAGGGGCCAAAAGTAGCACATATTATTAAAGGTTCAGATTTAATATTCCTTTCACCTTAAAAGGCACTGCTGGCTCCACTACATCTTTATTTTAACCGTGTGCAGTAGACAGGCCCTGCCAATTGAAAGTGCCTGGTTTTCCAGGAACCTGCTGCTGCTCCTGGCTCAGTTGCTCTGCCATGAATCGTTTCAGCGTTTCTGAGGTGCCCGGGCGGAGCCAGGGCTCAGTTGCAACAGAGTTTGATCTGTCGTCACCTACATGCTTCATGATGTCATCAGGGTCGACCAGTGAACTCTCGTCATCTAAAAGAGGTGAGACAGACATGACTCAGGAAACACAGGTGGCAGGCAGGTGATGCGAACACAGATCTCCTGTAATCTAACCCACTACAGCCTTGCATTTCTCCACAATACTATGTTCTAAACTGTACTATTTTGTCCAGGCCCCTCATTTTAGAGGTAGGAAAGCAAACCCAAGAAAAGGCCAATTTTATGAAACAAAAAACAGTCAAGTAAATAAGGTGACTCCATGGTACCAGAACCCATAGGGATTCCAAGGAAAGCAAAGGAGACTGCGCCAAACATGAAGTTGACCGTGGAAGTGTAGGTGGGCTTACTTGGTGTCACCTTCAGGAATGGATGCCATGCAAAAAACTTTTTTTTAATTTAGCAAAGTTTTAGAAATAGTCCCAACCTCTAACTGTAAGGAAATAATAAATCATTTTAGGAAATTACTTCCATTCTTACACCTAATCTAAGAGGCTGTGTCTACTCCATTAAGCAGTAGCTCTTAATTTGTTTCATTATTAACTAAATTCATTGTACTTAACTTCTATATCTGTGTCTTATTTATTATTAGATACAATATTAGGAAAATCTGTCTTCCTACCCTGTGATGTCAATTTCTTTTTTTTTAAATTACATCTCCTGGTCTGTGAAGGATTAGCCCAGCAAAGGGACATGTGCAATCAATTTAATAATCAATCCACATCGTACCAAAAAGCTCCTGTTTGAAAGGACAATGTTAAAAAAAAAAAGTTTTAGAAAACCTTCTGAAGGAGTAGAGTCTTAAAATGTTCTATCTTCTGTCAATTTAAATATATCCCTGTTAAATATTAATTCAACTTATTCTAAAAGAAATTGAGGAACAGGTAATTCTCAGTATAAATTAAAAGAAAATTCCTTTTAGCTAAAAAAAAAAAAAAGCACTGCTTTCCCCCATTCCCCATTTTTCCAGGCATGCAATGAGAAGTGCTGCTCCCTCACGTTACCATGGTTGCTGGTATTTGGTATGTAATTATAACCATCAGAACAGACGCCTTAACTGCTAGAGATTATATGAGTACAGTTTTAACACAGTATTAAAAGTAGGATCTAAAAAATACCTTAAAATAATTGCCACTAGAAAATTGTTGTAATGTAGTTTAACAGACTAAAGAGAATTGTCCAAATACATCACTCTACAATTTGCTAAGACTAATAATACAGTAGCACTTACTATTATAAAATTGTCCCATTATCCTAATGACTAGTAGCATTGACATAAAAAATGATGGTCTAGGGCTGGCAAAGGAGCCCATTAGTTGCCTAAGGAACCGTGCTGCCTGCCTGTGCTTGGTGAACAAGCTTTAACCAAAGCAATAAGAGACGGTGGAGGCCAACATAATGAGAAGACTAAACTTTGACTTATAAAAACAAGCAAACACTAACCTGCGGCTATTTTGCTTTGTCCATGGTACAGAAAGCCAAATAAAAAGGTAAAAAAAATTTATTTGTAAGTACTACAAACTTATAATAGACATAATCTAAAGAACTCAAAGTTTTAAAGATAATTTCTTAGAATCTCTCACTTCAGTGAGAGAAGTGAGATGCTGATACTAATCAGCATTTTCCCTGCTGAAAGCAAAGCTTGGGTATATTTAATAAGCAAAACCTTCATCTGTTTAGAATCCACTTGAAAATGGTACCCTCTCTGGTAGAAAGAATCTGACGCAAAATTAATCCTGAATCTCCCCGGAGAAGCTACTGTGTTCTAGGCCCCACAACTCAAAGGATTTCCAAACGCCTGCCATCTGCCCCCAGCCTCAGCGAAACTTCCAGTGAGCAGGTGTAAGAGTTCTTACAGAATTTGCTCTAGGCAATTAAACTTGGCCATTTACCTGTATTAATAGGTTTATTCTGAAGTTCATTCAATCTTCGCATTCGTTCCTCATTTCTCATTCTAAGCTGATCAATATTTAAACTGGATACAGATTTTAAAGAGAGACCATCTGGTGGTACATTAGGATGACTGTGTTCCTATAGTTAGAAAACAGAACTTCAGAGAAACGATCATTAACGTAAAATATGTTCAGAGTAAATCAGTGAATCAAAACGTGTTCTTGCCCTTGATAAATGTACAGTGTGATGGACAAAATAAAACAAATGAGGATCTGTAGTGTTTATATTCCAGCTGCCAGTGTTTATCCCTGCAGGCTCAGACTGAAGGTGTAGCATTTGTGGTAACATATAAATGCTGCCAAACTGGATAAAGGTGGGCAATCATAAGACATTAGAGGGAAAAAACCTGAAAGAGCACGGACTAAGAATCAGGCCAACTACAGTAATCAAGACAGGGTGGCAGTGGCCTAAGGAGAGACATACAGATCAACAGAATCGAAATCAGAGTCCAGAGATGAACTCTCGTGTTTATGGACAGAGGAGCGAACAACATTCACTAGGGGAAGGAACAGTCTTTTCAACAAATCGTACTAGAACAGCTGCATGTCCACATGCAAAAGGATGAATTTAGATCCCTACACCTTATGCCATACACAAAAATTAACTCAAAGTGAATCACTGACCTAAATTTAAAGGCAAAAACGGTGAAACTCCTAGAAGTAACTTTCATGATATTGGGTTAGGCAACAGTTTCTTAGATATGACACCAAAAGCATGCTCGATAGAAGATTTGATAAAGTTGGACCTCATCAAAATTAGATGTTTCTGTGCTGCAGTGGACACCATCAAGAAAGTAAAAGACGGGCCGGCCTAGTGATGCAGCAATTAAGTTCACATGCTCCATTTCGGCAGCCCGGGTTTCGCCAGTTCAGACCCCGGATGCGGACATGGCACCGCTTGTCAAGCCATGCGGTGGCAGGCATCCCACATGTAAAGTAGAGGAAGGTGGGCACAGATGTTAGCTGAGGGCCACTGAGGAGGATTGGCAGCAGATATTAGCTCATGGCTAGTCCTCCTAAAAAGAAAACCAGAACTAACAGCAACAACAACAAAGCCCACAGAATGAGAGAGAATACTTGCAAATCATACATCTAATATGGGACATGTATCCAGACTATATAAAAAACTTACAACTCAACAATAAAAAGACAATCTGATTTCAAAATGAGCAAAGGATGCGAATAGACATTATCTCCAAAGAAGATATCCAAACGGCTAAGAGGTACATGAAAAGATGATCAACATCATTAGGGAAATACAAATCAAACCCACAAAGAGATACTCCACACTCACTAGGATGGCTATAATAAAAAAGCAACACGTGTTGGCCAAGGTGTAGAGAAACTGGAAGCTTCATACACTGCTGGTGGGAATGTAAAATGGTGTGGCCACTTTGGAAAACAGTCTGGTAGTTCCTCAAAATGCTAAACATAGTTACCATATAACCCAACCATTCTACTCCTAGTTATATATGCAAGAGAAAAGAAAATATCAAAAAACTGTACATGAATGTTAAAAGCAGCAGTATTCGTAAAAGATAAAAAGGGGAAACAACCCAAATGTCCATCGAATGTTGACTGGATAAACAAAATGTGGACTATCCATACAATAAAATGTTATTCAGCAATAAAAAGGAATTATGCACTGATATGCTATAACTTAGATGACCTTTGGGGATTTAAAAAAAAAAAAAAAAGAAGCCAGTAACAAATGACCAAATATTGTATGACCTCATTTATGTGTGTCCAGGAAAAGCAAATCTATAGAGACAGAAGGTAGATGAGTGGTTGCCTAGGGAAACAAGTAAGCATGTTACTGCCACCCGGTAAATAAGGTTGTACATATAATAATGCTAATGACAGCATTCGTCATTTGTTGAGAGCTCCCTGCGTACTTGACTCTATGCTAAGTGCTTCACATATGTTATATAACTATATTTCCATGTCATACATAAGGAACACAGTTTAAGAAATTGCCCAAAGGCGCTTACTCAACAAAGACAGGACATAGTTGGGACATGTACTAAGGACTCCAAAGCCTCCACTTTTTACTGGCTACACTGTAAAGACATTTACACATGTTCTGTGAAAAGAACATGGGTTTGATTATCAGCCTTCCTGCCTATGTGACCTTAGGCAACTTATCTGACCAAATGGAGAAGATGCCTGTATGGTAGACTTAGGTGATAAGGAAGTTATAGCAAATTTTCCAATAAATGGTATTAGTTGCTTCTTGTGCCTTCTCTGAAATCCGTTATGTTCTGCAAGGGGAAGGAGGAATGCTGGGGTGAGGCATTAACATTTATAGGGCAGAGATTCTGTGCCAGGTACTAGGCTTAGACTTACAGCCACCCTAAGAGTTAGGAAAATACTACCTCACAGAAGCCAAAGCACCAGAATTCAGTGCAACAGTCATCCAGCTAATTGGGTGACCCTAGATTGAGACCCCTGTCCACCTCTCTTCCAGAGCAAGTGCCCTTTCTCTATTGGACCACATGAATTTAACATGGGTCAGAACTTGGACCTCTCACTCCTAAAGTGAAAAGGGAAAAAGGAAAAGGATATTTCCTACATACAAAGTCCAGTCCTTTCAACTTGTTCCTCCTGCGCTCCCTTGCAGAGGGCAGCTGTGATGGTGGAGGGAAGGCATCGTCTTCAATGGCAGGATACGTCTCACCATAAGCACCTAGAAGGTCCAGACAAGGGAGAAGTCTTACACATCCACCATTTCAAATCATTTTACTCAGAGCTAAACCAAGACTCTGTCTTTTAATAGCTTTATTAAGATACATATAATAAAATTCACCCACTATAAATATATATAGTTCAATAATTTTTATAGAATTGTGTAATTATCACTAACATTCCTATCACCTCAAAAGGCTTCTTTGTACTCACTGGCAATCATTGCCTACTCCCACCTGCCCAGTCCCATGTAAATACTGATCTGCTTTCAGTCTCAACAGATTTACCTTACCTGAGATTCCATATAAATGGAGTTATACAATGTAATACTTTGTGTCTTTCACTTAGCGTAATGTGTTTGAGGTTCATCTATGCTGTACCATGTATCAGTAGTTCATTCTGTTTTACTGCTGAATAGTACTCCATCATACCACATTTTGTCTATGCATTCACCAGTTGTTGGTCATTTGAACTATTACTAGTTGGTGATTATTAATAATGCTGCTATGAACATTCATGGTCTTTGTGTGACCATATGTTTTCCTTTCTTTGGAATATTCTTAGGAATAAAATTGCCAGATATTATGGTAACTCTAAACTGCCAAACTATTTTCAAAAGTAGTTCTACCATTTTACATTGTAAGAAGGTTCTAGTTTCCTCATCATCAATACTTGGTATTGTCAGTCTTTTTGATCATAGCCCTTCTAGTGGGTCAACAACCTATTTGACCATGGAAGTGAATAGCTTACAATATTTAGAATTTTTTCCCTTACTCTTTATTTTGAAAAAATTAAAACCTAAAGAAAAGTTATAATACAATGAATAACTAAAATCACCATTTCTTATTTTGCCACATTTATTTTACTTCTATATAGATTTTGGTGGATTTTTGTTGCTTGTTTTTGCTGAACAAATTGCAGACATCCTGACACTTTGTTCCTAAACACTTCAGCATGTGCCATCTAAGAACAAGGAAATTTTACATTGATACAATACTATCATTTAACATAAAATTGATATTCAAATTTCTGAAAGTTAGTGTACAGCCTTTTTCCTTTTTAAAGCAGCAATAACTACATTTTATTTTATATAAATAAAATTTTATATGGGGTTTTCTAAAACTCCAAAAACACAATTTTCTGACTTCATTATAGTAGTCCCCACCACTAATTCACACTCTCTCTCTTTTTAATAGACTTTATTAGTTTACAGGAGTTTTAAGTTCAGCAAAACTGAGTGGAAAGTACAGAGAATTCCCATATATCTCCTTCCCCCAAAACACTCACAACTTATCCCACTATCAGCAGCCCCCACCAGAGTGGTATATCTGCTAAAACTGATGAACTTACATTGACACATTGGTATCGCCCAAAGTCCATACTTTACATTAGGGTTCACTCTTGGTGTTGAACATTCTATGGGTTTTGACATGTATCCACCAGTATCACACACTAAAAATCCTCTGAGCTCCACCTATTCATTCCTCCCTCTGCTCTAACCCCTGGCAAACATGATCTTTCTACTGCCTCCGTAGTTTTGCCTTTTCCAGGTCATACAGTTGGAATCATACAGTATGTTGCCTATTCAGACTAGCTTTTTTCACTTTTATATACGTTCAAGGTTCCTCCACATCTTTTCATGGCTTTGTAGCTCATTTCTTTTTAGCACTGAATAATATTGCATTGTCTAGATGTACCACGGTATATTTATCCATTCACCTACTGAAGGACATCTTGGTTGCTTCCAGGTTTTGGCACTTATGGATAAAAACTGCTATAACCATCTGTGTACAGGTTTTTGTGTGGACACAAGTTTCAACTCCTTTGGGTAAACACCAAGGAGTGCAGTTTCTGGATTGTATGTAAGAGTATGTTTAGTTTTGTAAGAAAGTGCCAAAGTGGCTGTATTCCCACCAGTGAGTGAGAGCTCCTACTGCTCCACAACCTTGTCAGCATTTGGTGTTATCAGTGTTCTGGGTTTTGGCCATTCTGTTAGGTGTGCAGTGGTATTTCATTGTGTTAATTTGCATTTCCCTGATGACACAGGATGTGGAGAATCTTTTCATATGCTTATTTACCATCTGTATGTCTTCTTTGGTGAAGTGTCTGCTTGGGTCTTTTCCCCACCTTTTAATTGGGTTGTTTTTTTTCTTATTGTTGAGTTTTAAGAGTTCTTTGTATATTTTAGATAAGTCCTTTATTAGATATGTCTTTTGCAAATGTTTTCTTAACATTGTCCTTTGAAGAGTATTAGTTTTTAACTTTAATGAAATCCAGTTTATCGGTTATTTCTCTCACAGATTGTGCCTTTGGTGTCATATCTAAAAGTTATCCCCAAGTTCTTCTAAGTTTTCTATGTTATCTTGTAGAAGTCTTATAGTTTTTCATTTTATATTTAGGTCTATGGTCCATTTTGAGTTGATTTTTGTGAAGGGTGTGTCTAGATTCATTCTTTTGTGCAGGGATGTCCAGTTGTTCTAGTGCCATTTGTTGAAAAGACTGTCTTTTCTCCATTGCACTGCCTTTGCTCTTTTGTCAAAGATCAGTTGACTATACTTGCATGGTTCTATTTCTGGACTCTATTCTGTTCCACTGATCTATTTGTCTATTCTTTCACCAATACCACACTGTCTTGATTAGTATAACTTTATAGTAAGTCTTGAAGTCAGTTAGTGTCATTCTTCTGACTGTTGTTCTTCAATACTGGGTTGGTTATTCTGGGTCTTTTGCCTCACCATGTAAAATTTGGAATCAGTTTGCCAGTATCCACAAAATAACTCATCAGGATTTTGACTGGAATTTCCTTGAATCTATAGATCAAGTTGGGAAGAACTCACATCTTGACAATATTGATTCTCCCAAGCCATGTACATGGACTACTACTCCCTTTATTTCTTTCATGAGAGTTTTATAGTTGTCTTCATAAAGATCTTGTACATATTTTGTAAGATTTATATCTACGTATTTCTTTTTTAACGGGGTGCTAATGTAAACGATATTGTGTTTTAAATTTGAAGTTCCACTTGTTCATTGCTGGTATATAGGAAAGTGATTGACTTTTGTGTATTAACTTGGTATCCTGCAACCTTGCTATAATTGCTTATTAGTCCTAGGGGGGTTTTTTGTTGAATCTTTCAGATTTTCTATAGACAAACGTCATCTGAACACAAAAACAGTATTATTTCTTCCTTCCCAATATATATACCTTTTATTTCCTTTTCTTGCATTACTGCATTAGCTAGGATTTCCATAATGATGTTGAGGACTGGTGAGAGGGGACACCTTTGCCTTGTTCTTGGTCTTAGCAGGAAAGTTTCTAGTTTCTCATCATTAAATATGATGTAGGCTTTTTGTAGATGTTCTTTATCACGTTGAGAAAGTTCCCACATATTCCTAGTTTGCTGAGAGTTATCATGAGTGGGTGTTGAATTTAGTTCAATGCCTTACCACATCTATTGATAATGATCATGCAATTTTTCTTCTTTAGCCTGTTGATGTGATGGATTGTGGTAATTGATTTGGATGAATTATATTAATTGGATGTAAACCAGCTTTGCATACCGGTAATGTATAATTCTTGGTTGTAGTGTATAATTCTTTTTCAGTTTTTTAAGTATGCTTTTGGGGGAGGGGAGAAGACTGGCCCTGAGCCAACCTCTATTGCCAATCTTCCTTTTTTTTTTTTCTCCCCAAAGCCCCAGTACATAGTTGTATATCCTAGTTGTAGGTCATTCTAGTTCTTCTATGTGGGATGCCGCTACAGCATGGCTTGATGAGCAGTGTATATGTCCATGCTCAGGATCCAAACCAGCAAACCCCAGGCTGCTGAAGTGGAGTGCACAAACTTAACCACTCATTCACAGGGCCAGCTCATATAATTCTTTTTATACATTGTTGGATTCAATTTGCTAATATTTTGTTGAGAATTTTTGCATGTATGTTCATTAGAAATATTGGTCTGTAGTTTTCTTGTGTTGTCTTTGTTGGTTTGGTATTAGGGTAATGCTGGACACACAATGCGTTAAGAGTATTCCCTCTGCTTCTGTCTTCTGGAAGAAGCTGTAGAGATTTGGTATAATTCTTCCCTGAAGGTTGGGTAGATATCATCAGTGAACCCATCTGGGCCTGAGGTTTTCTGTTTCGGAAGGTTATTAATTATTGATTCAATTTCTTTTTTTTTTTATTGTTCTCATAGTCAATTTGGGTTTTTCCCCCAGCTTTGCTGAGACATAACTGACATATAACACTGTGTAAGTTCAAGGTGTACAATGTGACGATTTGATATACCCATGTATTGTGAAATGTTTACCACAAGAAAGTTAGTTAACACATCCTTCACCTCACATAATTACCATTTTATTGTTGTTATGGTGAAAACATTAAAGCTCTACTCTCATAGCAACTTTCAAATATATTGTTAACTAGTCACCATGCTGCACATGAGATCCCTGGAACTTACTCATCTTATAACTGAAAGTTTGTACCCTTTGACTAACATTTCTCCAACCTCTAGATTTCTTTAATAGATACAGGCCTATTCGAAGTGCATTTCTTCTTGTGTGCCTTTTGGCAGATGGTGACTTTCAAGGAACTGGTCTATTTCATCTAGGTTATCAAAAAAAAAAGAAAGCATTGAAACTACCAGCCTTACCCACATTCATTAGAACAGTGGTAGCACAGTGGTGACCATAGGATATTTGTGGTGACCATTAATCAGAAAGACAGACTGCTGTATCTTGAGTCTAGAACGATGAAATACTCTAACACACCATCCTGAATGCCCCAGACTGTCTCCACTGTTAGCAAGGACAGGTCACACTTCCCTGATGCCTCCACAGACAAGCTATCTTCCCATCCCTATTTCCTACTGGTTTCTCTATCTTTACTCACTCTCACAATATGACTTCCTTGGAAAGGAAAAACTCATTTAAGAAGAAAAAACTGGAAGACAAATATAGGCTAGTTTAGAATTTTTATCACATGAAATTATAAAGTAATCCACATGAAATATAACTAATATGTAGAAGAGAGAATTCCTTGATGGCCCTAGGATGGCAGAAATGCTTATGATCAGAGTACCTAATTATAAGCATATATCACAATACTTAAAAGATCCCGTGGTACCTTCACATATCTTCTGAAGACTAAGTTATATGCTTACAACTTTTTAAAAGTGAAACAGTAAGATAATTGTAGATTCACGTGGGGTTGTAGGAAATAATAGAGATCCCTTGTACACTTTGCCCAGTTAACCCCAATGGCAACATTTTGCAAAACAAGAGCAACAATCTCACACCCAGGACATTCATACTGTTACAATCCACCAATCTTATTCAAATTTTTCCAGTTTTACTTGTACTCATTCGTGTGTTTGTGTGATTAAGCTCTACAGCATTTTATTGCCTGTTTACATTTGCTTGTCAATCCCTATTGTCAAGATTAAAAACTGCTCCAAAACCACAAAGATCTTCATGTCACCCTTTTATAACTACACACACCTCTCCTTACCCCCTAACCCTGGCAACTGCCAGCCCTTCTTTAAAATTTTGTCATTTCAAAAATGTTATATAAGTGGAATCATACAGAATGTAACTTTTGGGGATTGGATCTTTTTGTTCAGCAATATTTCTCTGGAGAGTCATCCAAGTTATCACGTGTATCAATAGTCTGTTCCTTTCTGGTGCTTAGTATATTCCATGGTATGGACGTACTACAATTTGTTTAACTGCTCACCTGTTGGAGGACATCTGGGCTGATGCCAGTGTTGGCTGTTAGAAGTAAAGCTGTTATGAAAATTCATGTACAGGTTTTTGTGTGAACCATTCCTATGACTTCTAAAGTTCATATTAGTTATTCTAATTTTGAAAACTTTGTAAGTCATATTTGATGATTATCCATTAAGTTAGTAACACAGAATATTCCTTTTTTTTACCACATTTCACAAGAAAGACTAAAGAAAGTATCAATTTTTTAAGTATAGAGAAAAACACTTAAAAGAAACATAAACAATGTTTCACATTTGAACAAACAGATTGGTAAAATAAATATACTCACCAATAAAAGCACTATCAGATTCCAATAATGAATTTTTCAAGAAATCATTAGTGTCACCTCCAGGCTAAAAGAAACATCATATATTAATGACTATTTTTATTAATCCTCTGGAAAAACATCAAATTTGTACTAAGAGGCACAAGTCTTTACACTGTCCGCAATATCAGCAAAAGAGGATGGGGACAGGTAGGCCTGGCTGCTTCCCTCCTACACTGCATTCTGATGCCCAGCAAACACAGGAAAGGCAAAGCATGTAAACTTCCACCAGGGAAGAGAAGACAACAGTAAGACTTGATCTCTCCAGCCTAGAGATTTTGGCAAGCAGACTTCTACTCCCTAACTCCACTCCTTCTTGCCCCCTTGTGGTTGAAGTCAAATAAAAGGCTCACATTGGTGATAAAAACTATTATATTTTCATAGAGTATGAAGCAGTCGACCCAAGTAAACATTAAAAGTCTTTAAACCATTGCCAAGATTCATTCATTCTTTCAATAAATCTGTATAGTACACTTACTATTTCCTCCTTGCTAGGAACTGGAAATACAAAGATGAGTAAGAGCTTCTGCTCTGGAGTAGATCATAGTCCAGTGGCAGAGAGAGGCATGCCCTCAATAATGACAGCCCTCTGTGACAGCTGTCACAAAGGCATAGCAAAGATATAGAAGGACACAGAGTAGGAGAAAAAAATAATGCTAGGGTTGGGCTTGTAATGAACTCTCAAATGAGAGGTAACTTAAATTTATAGAGAGAGAATTTTACACTAGGGATAATGTCACCCTATACTTTGGAAGGAACCTAAAGTCACCTAACACCACCTCCATGCACGTCCCCCACAGATTTCTAGGATTTGCTAGAAGACTCCAGTGAAGACCTATCCATTAATTTTTAAGGAAATACATTCCACTGAGACACAGTATTAATAATCAGAAGGTTCCTCTCTTTCACTGAATTCTTCTATATACTGAATTTAAATCTCCTTGTTAATTTACCACCCATTGACTCTACTTCTGCTTTCCAGCATGATAATAGTAGCGTCTAATATTTAACAAATGGTCTGAACCAGCTGTTCTTAGCACTGCACACATATTGCCCAACCTCTCTCCTGCATCACAGTCCTTCACATAACTGAAAGGAGTGATCACAGTCCACCTAAGCCCTGTCTTCTCCATGACAATCTTCCCCAGTTTTATCTTGTGTTTCTCATATAATCCAGTTTTTAGGAAGATGAGGAGCCCAACATTTATTAGCTTTTTTGTAACAGCCATGATAAACTGTTGGCTTATGCTGAGTTTCTACTTGGTGTTATTAATCCAGGATTTTAACCAAAATCCCAGATGTTAAATTTCAGTATCTTTTCACTGAGAAATGTGCCTGCTACATACAAAGAACCTACTGACCTGTAGAGTATTCAGGAATAGGTGTCAATACGTCTCAGGCCATGAAGTACAGGGACAAAGAGGTGCTCCAGAGTCCAGCCTGGGTTCAGATCTGGGCTTTACTGCTCATCAACTGTGTGATCATGGCTAGCAGTTTCCTCTGATGTAAAATCAGGACAACCATACCTTGTTGTGAACTTTAGAGTATATGAATGTCAAGTACCTCCCACAGGTACAGAGTGTGGTCAATAAATGGTAGCTATTAGCAACATCAAATCATCATCACTATTATCAGTTCAAAACCAAGCACAACAGCTACCAACCGGTAAGCCTGGGCACCTAATAGGCTAGCTGAGTCTTACTTTTATAATCTGAAAATGGGAATAATACTGGCTGTCTCTTTAGTGTGTGTGGAGATTAAATTTATTTCCAGCCTTGATCTTTTCCCCTGAACTCGTTCTCTTATCTGTCTACTCATCAGCTCCAATTGTTTGTCTAATAGGCAGCTCAAACTTACCATGGAAACTAAGTTCCTAATCTCTCCCCCCCAAATGTTTCTCCTGCTTCTCTACCTCAGTAAATAGCAACTCCCAACCAAAACCTTGAAGTCCATCTTTGACTCCTCTCATATCCCACATCCAATGTGTCAAAAATCCTTTCAGGTCTCCTTTCAAAATAAATCCAATCACTTCTGACCAAGTCTGTGGCTCCCACCTCAGGCTAAATCACCTTCAGTCTTACCTAGATTATAGCAGTAGCCTCTTGTCCCCCTCAGTCTGTTCTCAACAAACAGTAGTCAGTGATCACGTTAAAACATGAACAAATCGTGCCACTCCTCTGCTCAGAAACTTTGGGAGTTTCTCATCACATTCCCAGCATAAAGGGCAAAGCCCTCTGATGGCCTGCGAGGCTCTGCTCTCCAGCCGTCACCTAACTCATTTGCTCCCACTCGCCCTTGCTCATGGCTGTGCAGCCTCCCCGCCTTCTCACTGTTCCTAGCATGGACCAGGCCTACTCCTGCCCAGGGCCTCTGCCTAGAAGGTTCTTCCTCCAGATGTGTCCCCCGATATTTCACAGGGCCACCTCCCTGATGTCCTTATTCAAATGTGGCCTACTCAGCAAGCCTTCCATGTTCACTGTACTTCAAATTAAACCCTCTCACCCCAGTATTCCCAAACCCCCTTTCCCAGCTATCATTTTCTCCAGAGCCCCACAATTTAACACACTATATATTTTACTTATTTGTTTATTTTCTCTCCCTCTTACCAGAAAGTAAGTCCTCAGAGAGCAGAGATTTTTGTTCCTTTTGTTCACTCCTGTACCCCTACCACCTAGAATAGTATCTGATCCATAGTAAGAATTCAGTAAATATTTGTGGAATGAAAATGGCTCATCCCTTCTCTCCATTGTCTTTGCACAGATGTCACCTCCTAAGGATAAGAGTGACACTCTTGTTGTTGTTAGTGCCATCAAGTCAATTCCAACTCCTAGTGCCCCTGTGGACAGTAGAGCAGAACCCTGCCTGGTCTCTTGCACCATCCTCTCATGAGCTTCTGGTACTGTATCAGACAATGCTCTACTGCTATTCATAGGGTATTCATGATCAATTTTTTCAGAAGTGGACTGCTTATACTGAGAGCAAACATTTAGACTGCACTCATGATGGGCCAGGCCCTATTCTAAGGGCTTTTTTTTTTTTTTTAAATATATTTTCAGCCATCCTTTTTTTTTTTTTTTTTTTGGTGAGGAAGATTGGCCCTGAGCTAACATCGATTGCCATTCTTCCTCTTTTTTTCTTCTCTCCCCAAAGCCCCAGTACATAGTTGTATTGTAAGTCATTCTAGTTCTTCTATGTGGGATGCCACCACAACATGGCTTGATGAACAGTGTCTAGATTCGTGCCCAGGATCTGAACCAGCGAACCCCAGGCCACGGAAATGGAAAGCACAAACTTAACCACTCAGCCATAGGGCCAGCCCCCCAAGGGCCTTTAATATATTATCTCACTTAATCCTCACAACAACCCTTGAGCTATTTTTCATTTCTTTAATAAACATTTATATAGAAATTATTACATGCTAGGCCTGTCCCTAAGTGCCTTGCAAATATAATTAATTTAATCCTTATAACCATCCTCAGAGTTAAGTACTATTATCCCATTTTATAGAGTAGAAAACTGAGGCTCAGAAAGATTATATAATTTTCCTGCAGTCACACAGCTAAAAGCAGACTACCTGGAATAGCCTAGCTCAAGAGTCTTGTTTTTAGCCATTACAGTATGCTCTCTCTACATACTGTACTAATACATCTCTAGTTAGCCACTACACCGATGAGACAAGATTTAAATTCTTTATTAATTCAGTATTCTTGAAGAATTCAAAATTGGAATGCACACTCATCATATTCCTAAAAATTTTACCCCCCGAAAGCTAACTTGAAAAATTATAACTGATTTCTCACCATCCTGTGGTCTCGCACTTTAGCACTTGGGATGGCATCCAAGTCAACTGTAATCAGTGGAGAACAAAAACAAATTAAAAGGTTAGAAAATGTTTAAAAAATAAAAATAAATTTTGGAATATCTTTTGTGACTAGCTTTCTACTGGAAATTACTTTTCAACTATTGTATTTCAGAATGTTTTTAAGATACGACTTGTTTATCAATAAATATAACCCAGCATCCATTCTAGTTGGATAAAATTCTCCCATTCACATTAATGAATATAAAAAGTAAAATCATTGTGAACTTAAAATTAATGCCTACAGAAAAAGAAAACAATGCAGGATTCTTCACCATCTTCTCTCATATGTCTACACTCTGTGTAGAAAGCGGTTGAGTGGAGTTAAACAGGGGACTCCCTCACACGGAATTGAAGGAAGGTAAATGCCAGGCACCTGGTTCCAGGGGCAAAGGTTTTGGATCAGATATCCCAAAGGCTTCTCTGATGTGACCAGTGTTCCTACTTCTGCCTCTGAATAGTGCATTTTGTCCTTTTACATACTGCCTTTGGGAATAAATAGGCTGCCAACAATAGGCTGTTTTCCTACTTAGATATTTTATAGCCATTTTTGTGATTGTTTCTATAAACATAAACCATATTCTTATGAATTAAGTCATCGTAGTGTTTGCTGGAAGTTGAGGGATGGTTGCTATGAGAAATGGATACCCTCAGTGCCAAAATGCACCTGTCTCCACCTGAGGACTATGTTAGGGCTAATCAGCCTCAGTTGCCAAGATCGCATCAGATCAGATCATCAATTGGGTATCCTAAGGAAAAATTCCACCAAAATGGATGTAAAGGTTTAATAATGTACTTGCTTCTCTCTTCTCTCCTGATGATATGCCTACTATTTATCATAGAGTTTGGGTTATTCTGCTGTCAGAAGGTGATCTATGAGACCATTGTTAAAAATTCTGTACAAGTTGGAGGAAAGACTTTCCCTATATACAATTTTTATCAAAGTCTTGACCTGTGATCTGGGCCCAAAGTGGTACACTACTTACTCCTGTGATACTGTCTCATGCCATCAAAAAATGTTCCCCAAATTCTGCCAGCCAGACTAGCCTGCTAAGGTAGGGTCTTAAATACCCCTAAAAATAACTGGTAGGACCATCTCCTCCTCTTCTTGTTACCTGATTGTTGTGTTTTTATAACTCATTTTCCATAGCCACCCCCAATGGCCTGAAGGCTGGCCAAGCTAGTGAAATACATGTGAAGGTCACGCAGTACACCCAGGTCAATAGGGCCCATCAATGCTCTCTGAGGCAACTAGCTCCACTCTGCCTCTAGGTGCCTGCCCGCCCACCCCCACCCCCGTTACACACTCCCAAGGGACCCCAGATTTCTCTTTTGTAGCATTTATCACACTTATACCCATTTAGCATCTAACTTCTCTAATCCAGTCTAAGCTCCTTGAGAGAAGTAGCATATTTCATTCATCATCATATCTCCTAGATACGGATCAGCACCTGGGCTCACAGAAAGCACTCAGAAAGTATCTGTTGATTGGCTGATTATACAAGAAGATATTCATAGCCAAGTCTGATGCTTTACAGATTTTTATGCCGTACCAAGATTTAAACAGACACACACACACACAGTAGAGAAATGCCCCGTAGGGCACTGATGTGTTTGCCCAGCATTCCTTCCCTTGGTTCCCAGTTCCTGGTGCAGATGTCACCTGGCCTAGTCAAGGGATTCAGTCCTCTGGCTGTGGTGAATGGCTGGATGCTCCTCATGCATGGATGTATGACCCCAGCCAAGCCAATCAGAGCCCTCTCTTGGACTTGTTCTTTTCTGGGACTACAAGCCAGTGAAGGGAGCCTGCTTGGGAGTGAAATCAAAACAAGAGACGGAGAAAGAAAGCTGACAAAAAAACAACCTATTGATACTATTTGAAACAGTAATGATTATTTCTTACCTTCAGCACCTTCCTGCATTTTTATTCTATTCAGTCTCTTCTGCTGCTCTCTCAGCAGGGCTTGCTGCTGAATCTCTAAGGTGTGACGATCTCTTGGAGGGTCTGGGTACATAAATTTCAGATCAAGTCGTGTTTCTGAATCTGTTGCAAAAAATAAGTTATATAACTAAGTTAAATCTTGTTTTCAAATGAGATTTTATAAAACTTCACTAGAAGTATCATATGAGTAACCTAATGTCAAAATCAAGGAACACTATAAATAATGGGACATCACCAAAGTCAAAGGACATTAAAATCATCATAAAACTAAAGAACATGAACTTAATATTCTTTAAATAACGCCTTTTCACAAATTTCCCAACATTATAAGGAAGTTCCCAGGACAAGCAGCAGCTTATTGACGGCTTCTCCATCCCTACCTCCCCACACCCCCAAAATGCCCCCCTGAGAATGCGGCAGGGCAACCAAGTACAGGTATATCCAAGTGGCAGTGACATGGCTCTAACTCAGGCAGCCATGAGACAGTGTAATCACAGCCACTCCCTAAAATACACTGGAAAAATGAAAACATAATGTTACTGGCCAAGTAATATTTTAACCCTTGCAAATATCATACAAAAAGCAAGATAAATGCAGGCTGGCTGGAACTTTAGGAGGAATGTCATTACTGGAGGAAATGACAGTCTAAGTAAGAATCCACTATGCTGCGAGTTCAAGAATATCAGTTATCAGAATAAAAATGTTAAACCCTAATTTTTAAATCTCGAGAATAAAAATATAGTTCATACATTTAAAAAACCTTGAAAATATTATTCCCTTTCATCTACTAATTACACTGATGGGGTATAATTTAAAGAAATGATCCTAAGTATATAAAAAGTTTTATGATCAGAAATTATTAAAATAATATAATAGTGAAAAATGGGAAGCATGTCGAATATCTAAGAATTAGAAAATGATTAATAGGAAAGTTAACAGAAGAGACCCCGGATACGTGAACTTGGACTGGACCACTTCCAGACTCAATTTCCTCTCTATAAAAACCAAAGATATCAACAACTAAGTCATATGATGAATGAGGACTAGAGATGGTAATAAAGGGAAACCAATGGCTCGATTTTAGGTCTCAAGACCTCTTTACACTCTTAAAAATTGAGGACCCCAAAGAGCTTTTATTTATGTGTATCTCTCTGTCTCTCTCTCTCACACACACATGCACACACACAACATATTAGCAATTAAAACTAAGAAATTTTTAAAACATGAGAATACACAAGCACATATTCTATTAACTTCAGAACAATGAGGTCATCACATGCCATGTAACCGCTGGAAAATCTGTACACACATGAGAGAATAAAAATGAAAAAGACAAATAATGTCTTAGTTTATAATAAAAACAGTTTTGAAATCACAGGTCCCCTGAGAGGTCCCCATCAAACTCTCAGATCCACTGGCTTAATACAATGCCTGTCATATACTAAGTAATCAATAAATGATAGCATTAAAAAAAACTATAATATATGTAATTGATGACACTTGTAAAGCTAAATGAAAACAAGAGAAAATTAAATAACATAATTATATCTTGTTTTTCTTTGAATTTTTTTCAAGTAGGCTCAGAAGGAAGACCAGAAAACATACAAAATATTAATGGTGTTTATATTTAGGTGGTTTGAGTACAGTGATTTTTCCCCATCTTTCTGTATTTTCAAAACTTTCTATAACAGATATTATTTTTAAAAATAAGAAAAAGAGGAAAAGTTTAAATTCTGGTTTATCTGCTATAGGTCATATGACCACACATATTCGCTTCCTCCACTGCTCTGTAAAGAAAAATACCATATAACACACATTTTGGTTCCTCTACACGTTTTCGGTCTTGCAGCCCTCTATGTACCGTGGCAATCCTATTTCCCTAACAAGCTTTCTCTCCTCCTCCTAAGTGGCTACGTCAAATCTTCTCTACTCTCTTCCTTGCAAAATCCTGTATTTCCTTCTGTCTACTCAGGAACCCTGCTCTCTTCAGTAATCATTTCCTCCCTCTCCTATATCCTAAGCCTCTTCACCCTGTAATAGTTCTTCACATTAGCATCCTAACAAGTTCCTCCAGCTCTGGATCCTTCTCTCGTCCCCTTCCCATCCAAGCTTCTTCCATAGGTGGTCTTATACTTATAGCCTCCAACACTTTGCCTTCTATCCAATCCTCATTCCAAAGTTAACTGGCTTCTGATTCCATAATTTCACCAAAAAAGATCCAGTTGAGGTCACCAGTGACCTCTCATCCAACTGACACTCTCCAATATTCTTCTGACACAATCCCTTCTCCTTGATACACTCTCTTCCCATTTCTCAGGATACTGCATTCTCCTGCTTTTCCTCCAATCACTCTGGCTTTTCCTTCTCAGTCTCTTTCCTTCATGCATCTTACTCTGTCCATCCTCCACAAAATGCCAAGTGCCTCTCTTCACACTGTTTTATGTGATCTAACCCCTCCCGAGGCTTTAACAGCTATATGCTCTCCAAAAGAAAACAGCCAAGCTAAAGTGTCATCTGCCAGATTGGTAAATTGAAGAACTAGAATATAAAGAAGTTTCTTCTGTCATCACTTAAAATAAATATCATGGATGAAACTTTAGAAAAAGGATACAAACGTCTTTAAAACATACTTGAATATGGGTAGAATACTCTTGCTATATCTTTCAAACAGCAGCATTCTACTTACCTCTATCTTTCAGCTCATTAAAGTCATGAATATTCTGAAAAGCAGTAGGGTCTAAGCCCTTAGGTGACTGCCTTCTGACTGGAGCTTGCAACCGATGTCTAGCCATGTCAAATATATCCATAGGATTCCTTTCTCTTTTCCTACAGATAAATGACAAATTATGATAAATATGTTTTATGGGAAGAGAATCTGAGTTCCTATTTAACTCCCTGTAAAAGAAACTTAGCATCTTTCAACACATTACAAAAATTTATTCTAATAGCTGTTATTTCAATCCCCAAATATTTAAAAAATACGTATTACTAAGGTCAATGTTTGTTATCTTTCAAAATGCTCAGATGTAAAGTATCTTATTAGAAGAGTAGAACGGTTTAAGCTTCCCCTTAAGATGTTCATGTAGTAGAAAGATCACAGTCTTTGAGGTCAGAGAAACCAAGATTCAAAGAGCAGCTCTGCTATTTACTAGCGGTTTGACTTTGATTTCATCATCTATGAGATGCAGATAATATCCATCCCTTTTAGTCTTATGAGCATGAGAATTACATGAAGTTATACATTGTAAAGTACCCAGTACAATACTTGACATGTATTAGGTACTTGATAAATGTTACCTTCCCCTCAGCCTAACATAGAAATTATACAGAGAAAGACAGTATTAATATGCTGCCCAATAAAACGGGTCTTATCCACAGTCCCCAACACTGATTTTACAACAGGCTTTCAGGGAACTTGACACCTAATTAGTCAATTAACACTCTAGTCCTGCGGTACCTAGAAAGTTAACATAACAGGCAGGTAGTTTAGTAAGGGGATTTTCTGCTAGGGCTTTCGAGCAGTGATGATAAGAGAGGAGTGGAACAGGGGATGGTATCTCGAGCCCTGAAAACAAAATAAAACCAGTATCTCCTGCTGATTCCCACAGCACTAGCAAGGTCCCCTCTATTTTTGAAAATGCAGCTCTAAGGTATAGATGTAAGAGAGTTGGTGAGACTCCTGCCTTCGTTTCTTTATTCACTAAATCTTCCCTAAGCACTTAGACAGAAATAGCTGGGATTCCAACAAGCAGTGCCCCAGCTCTCAAGGAGTTTCCTTTCAGGGGCAGGACTCACCAGGGCCACAAAACCGCCTTGTCAAGGTCTGATACAGACCCCCCTAAGAGGGAACCGCCTAGGGTGACAGGAACTGCAACGGAGATTCATTAACATGCACAACAAATACTAAAAAGGCCTCTAGAAGGCCATTAAATTGGAATCCTGTCCAGTTTCCATGAACACTAACAGTTAAAGAGGCTGCTGAGTTAGGAATTAGGTTGTTAGATCTTCTTTGCATGTGAGCTGGCTCGTGTTTGTTTTGTGCCTAGCATACAGTAGGAGATCAATAATGTGAAGATTCTTTTTGTGAAACTATTGTAAAAGTGGAACAAAGAACCAACCCTGAGATGTTTCTGATCATAACACATACTAAAATTACCAAGGTAAATCATTAACCAAATTTTGCTACATAATGGTAATTCTAATATATATATCTAACTTCAGGCAGCACATAGAATTTATAAGGTACTTTCAAGTACACACATTTATTTATTCTTCAGTAGAATCTCATGGGGTAGAAATTATTTATGATTTGCAAATGAGAAAACAAAAGGTGCCTAGTTTCTCTTTCTTAAATCATACTGGTTTGCCAAAAGAGAAGCACAGTCTTCAATTTATGAATGAAAATAAAGAAAATGTCAATAATCTATTACATTGAAACAAACATGCTCATTTGCAATATGGAAAGCTGCAATAGTTAAGGCATTTATAACATTCTAAAAGTAAATAAAGAAAAACTATACTGACCTCTCAATTACTTAGAAAAAGGTGACCTACTAAAGAAGAATTATTCATTGAAAATTACCACCTTGGGTTAACATTTCATTATATAGCCTGTCTATATCTTGAAATTTCCCCACCATGTTTACTTAGCCAGAACATGCTTGGAGAATGCCAACAAAAATCTAATTAAAGCATAATTAGGCAAGTTAACATACTGCATTAAAATTCTACCACATACTGGATTAGAGTCAGTGACTTCAGTTTGAATTTAATATACATACAAATTGATGGACATAGGGACAATTAAAGATATGTTTATGACTTAGTATACATACATATATCATCGGTCCATTGAGGACCTAGAAGCAATGACACCCACTAGCAACAAGCATATCCAGCATCCAGAGCTTGGTTTCTAAATACCATTTTCCTAGAGGAATCAGAGTGCCTTGGAGAAATGGCTGATTCTAGGGGTAGGGCAGGGGAAATACAAGATGATCCTGGAAGATCTTGTAGCATCAGAAAGTAAGGAAGTGCTCAAAAAACCAAAGGCTGGGGACATGTATCTCTTTGGAGATACAGGAGCCAATCTGAAAGAGCTCTCACTGGCCAAAGCTGCAACAATTTGAAAAACAACATAAATAATGTACTACTGGATTATAACCCAAAGTACAAAATAAATATACATGAGACAACAGTGATATAAAAAAAAGACTGAATAAATAAATAAAGGGAAGAGAAAGGACAAACCTTTCTTACTGAAGAATTCTAACTAATATATGTAGAACACATCCTCTTCAGGAAATAGAGCTTAATCCTACCTCTTCTGCAGTCTTGCAAGTGTGCTAAACTTAGTGATTTGTGTCCAAAGAATAGTAATTTTGCAGTGGAGAAACCTGGCAAATACCACTTTAACCAAATGATGAAGGTTCCCATCCCCAGGGATGTCTTGTGGATGTCACGTACTCCGACATGAAGTGATGAGAAGGGCACCAAGTGCTCGTCTTTCCAAAAACTCTTAACCCGTCTCATCGTGAGAAAACATCAGACAAACCCCCACTGGGGGACATACTACAGGATACCAGGCCTGTTTATGACTTAGTATACATACATATATCATCGGTCCATTGAGGACCTAGAAGCAATGACACCCACTAGCAACAAGCATATCCAGCATCCAGAGCTTGGTTTCTAAGCTCCTCTAGACTGTCACAGTCATGAAAAACAGGAAAGACTGAGAAACTGTCCTGGACCAGAGATGCCTAGGAGACCTGACAACTCAGTACAATGTGGTACTCAGTACTGATTGGATCCTGGAACGGAGAGGACATAGTGGAAAAACTAGAGAAATTTAAAAAGTCTAGAATTTAGTTAGCAGTGACATTCCAATGTCAGCTTCTTAGCTGTGACAAATGTACTCTGGTAATGTAAGATGTTAACACTAGGGAACACTGGGTGAGGAGTATACAGAAACTCTCTGTACTATGTTTGCAACTTTTCTATAATCTAAAATTATGTCAAAATAGACAATTTATTCTTTTAAAAAATAAGCACCTTCTTTAAAGAAAGTGTGGTAGTTGCTACTACATTGATTTTACAACCTACTAAAAGACTGCAATCTGTAGTTTGAAGAACATTGCTTTATAAAATTTAAGGGTCTTTTTGGCAAAAATGATCAGAAATGTTTGGTAATCTGTAAGTTATTTTGCTGGAAAATAGTATTTCAGAAAACAATATATGTTGGAGGAAAACATAAAAGTTGGCTTTAAAATGTAATTGTCTGTGATTATTCCAAATAATTTTCTGAAATTTTCCATTCCTATATTATTTTCCCCTCAGGAACTAAATTTCTACACCTGATTTTCTAGAAGAAAGGGAAAGTAAAGAGATTATTTTTATAACTGTCTAGTCTGTGCCTTCTTCTAGTCTTGTTTAAACTACCTCTGTCCTATCTTATGCTTCCTCATCACTTACATTAGCTTGAGAAGCAACTTCTGCATCCCCCTGCCTTGTGTACATAAGATCCAGTATTAGTCAATTATTTGTCATTCACTGATTTCTGTAGTGAGACAAACAATCCATCCTAAAGACACAGCTATAAGAATGGCCTGCTTCCAAAACTGACTTTTCCTCTAAGTCTAATCCTATTAAACATTTCACGGTTAGGGACAGTATTTTTGGTTCTCCTTCAAGAAAGTGCTACTTCTAGGGGGCTGGCCCCATGGCCGAGTGGTTAAGTTCACATGCTCCACTTTGACGGCCCAGGCTTCGCTAATTCGGATCCTGGGCGCAGACATACACAACACTCATCAAGCCATGCTGTGGTGGCATCCCACGTAGAAGAACTAAAATGACTTACAACTAAGATACACAGCTATGTACTGGGGCTTTGGGGAGAAAAAAGGAAAAAAAAAGAGGAAGATTAGTAACAGATGTTAGCTCAGGGCCAATCTTCTTCAGAAAAGAAGAGAAAGTGCTACTTCTTCTTTCTTCCTCCCCACTCCCAACCTTCTGTTACTACCACAACCATCATCACCATTGTTATAAATATATTATTGCCAATACAGAAGGACAATTAAAATGCTCAATTTTATATTAAGTTAAATATTCATTAAATAGCTCATTTTCATAGTGAATAAATTCTAAAATTGTGGACAAATGTTTTATGAAGGTAACTTTATCCACATAAAATTGAAGAATGTGAATCAAAAAAGCTTCAGTTAAGAGTTGTTTTGCCATAAAAGAAAAAAAGAAGGAAAAAGAAAACCTACCACATGCTACAAACACAAATAGACTCAAAAATTCATATACTATTTTGGATTAGTTGCAACAAGTCCCTCCACCCAAATATAATTTATTTAGCTAGATTTCTTTGGGGGAGAAAAGGTTATCTCAGTCATCACAATTCCACCAACAATCTCTTAAAAACTTTTTCAAGCGCACAAACTATTCATTCTAACAAAGGTGACTTTACAATAAAGATTAATTAATCCTGTTCCAAAACTACAGAATTACTGGATAAATTCTGATTGACATATGATTCTTTATCCTGAACACAAAAAATTCAAGAACAGACAAAAAATGCAATTCGAAACTTGCCTTATATGAATTTCATCATCAATGTCCATGTGTAGCAATCGCCCTTGTAGACGCCGCTCTTCACTACGAAGCTGTTTTCTCATTTCTGATAATTCCATAATTACATTTTTTTTCTCCTCTGCAAATTATCATTGATAAGTAAAAAATGAGACAGGTATAAGAACAAAAGATTAAATATTAAACATAATCTGATTTATTATAAAGCTAAAATGCTCAGAAATTTTTATGAAACTTATTTTTAATGTTTTACATATATAGATCATATTTATGAATATCATTAAGACCCATAAACACATTTCTGATAAAACAGGAACTTCAAAAGTTCAGGAATATTTTCAGAGTCAGGAGAGTACAACTGTAAAGTGGCAGTACAAGGGGGTTCTTTTGTGGAGATGGAACAGTTCTGTATCTCGATTGTGTGGTAGTGAAACAAATTATACACGATAAAAATGCACAGAACTACACACAAACACACATAAATTAGTGCACATTACAACTGTGAGCAGACCAATGTCAATTTCCTGGTGTGATACTGTACTTTGTAAGATGGTACCACTGAGGGAAGCTGGGGGAGGGTATGGCAGGACCTCTCTGTACTATTTTGCAACAGACTGTGAGTCTATATTTCAAAACAAAAAGTTAAAAAAAGAAACATGCTAGATTGTAGGTTTAATAGTTAACTCTACCTTCTGCACGGAGCTGATTTTTCCTGGCAGGTACCGGAGGAGACTGTGCCCTGGACATGGAACTTTCCTGTTTAACATTCATGACAAAGATACGCTCAGTATGTCTTCCCTACTCAGAAGCTTGAAAGAGTAATTTTTTGAAGTCACTATATGTAAAAGAAACTAAATTCCCCTATCCTACCTATAAACTTACCCTTCCCATCACAATGGGAGAGTCCTTGCCCATCCAAAAATAATTCTTTCACCTTGACTCCCACCTCTTCCATCAATTATCTTTTCTCCACCCTCTTCTTCTCCCCAAACACCTTCCTCTCAGCCTATGATTAAAAAGCTCTCCCTTCTTTAAAAAAATTGTTACCTCACCCATAATCATTCATCTATTGTCCATTCTCTCCTTCCCCTTATAGTCATGCTTCTATAAAGAATGGCAAATGCAGTATGGTGCCAACCTCCTTATTCCCATTCACTCCTCACCACTCAGGTAATGCCTTTGCTTCTACACCTCATCACTCCACTAATGCTGCTCTCACCAAAGTCACCAAGTGATCCCCAAGTGACACATTCAATGAGCATCATAAGTCCTTGTTTCACTTGGACAGTAGCAACTGATATCATTGCCACTCTCTGTCACTTTCCCTATTTCCTCTCTGCTTCTTAAATGTTGGTAATTCTCTAATGTTCCATCCTGAGCCATCTTTACTTCCCCCGAAGTCATCCTAGACAATCGTATTCATTTGACAAGCAACAATTTTAATGGCTTCTAAAACTACAAATTCAGTCCAAAGCTCCTTCCTTAGCACAACCTTTATTTTCAACTGCCTACTCTATATAACCCTCACCAGAAATTTGAAAGTTGTCACTGACTCCTACCCACCACACACAGAGTGAGTAAACACCACTATTTGTGTCTCTTAAATGTATCTTGAAGCATTTCTCAGTTCTTAATGTCACTGCCTTTGCTTAGGTCCTCAAAGTCTCACACCTAGATTTCTGCAAAAGCATAAAACTTGTCTTCATGTTTACAGTCTTGCAAGGCCTCTAAAATCTATCTCCACACCACTGCCCGAGAGAACCTTATGCAAGACAAATATGGCCATGTCATTCTCCCAAGTAAAATATTACAATGAATTCCCATACATTAACTACACAGACTTACCAAATCAGAAACTCAGAGGGTGGGATTCAGGAAGATATTCTAACATATTTCTTTGTCTATTCTTGTAATTAGCCTGTTATTTCACTAGCCTACGAAATAAAGTCAGAACCCCTAGCACTCTGTACAACATTCTGTATATGTTCTGATCTCCATCTCCTCTGCCACCTTGGTCAGGCCAGACCAAACCATATGTTTTTGCCATGTGTGCCATGCAGCTTACACTTCCCTCAATGATTTTGCACACGCTGAAAGTCCCTCACCCTCCTTGTCTTTATGGCAAATTCCTACTCATTCTTCAAGAGTCAACTCAAGGATCAACCCTTCTGGAACATTTTCCCGGCTCTCTTTTGATTGCAGCTCAGTCTAAGGTATAAGGGACTTCATTAGCACAACTATAGCTAGCCAGAAGATATATTATCAAAGAAAAGGCCTTCTTGAGGGGCCTAGACAAGAATCATTTGCTAAATTATGACTTGTCAAAAGAATTTAAACTTTAGGGCATCAAGTACTATCAGTTACAACTGAAGCAGCAAATTACTGTAGACATTATCTATATTTCAGATCTGAAAAAACGTAACCTAACTAAATATGATGAAAGAAAATCTCATTCAATCCCCCCAATCCAATAACTTAGCTAAGATTAACAAATCAAAAGAGCAAGTATATACTTGAATAAAGGAACTTATAATGCTGTCAACTGAAGGAGGTCTTTGGAGTTTGCTTGCAATTTTGTTCTGAAGAGCAGGAACTACAGGAGAAGGATGTCTCAAGCGCTAGGGGGGAGGAAAAAAAAAAAATATATATATATATATCTACACACACATACACACACACACACACATCCCCAACATATGTACGTATACACACACCCACACACCCCAATAGTTAACAAGACCATCTAAGAAGTTCAGAATACTAGGGCTTTTATTTAATAAAACACTTTTTTACCAAAAAAGAATCAGAAATTCAATTATATAAGATCAAATGTATCAGTTATGATAAACATGTATAGATTTAGATATCCCTATTAAAGAACATAACTCTCAGATTAGGACAAAAAATTTCAACAAACTTAGGTAAAGCAATAGCACAGCAAATATTAGGAAAGCAACAAAAATAAAAATATATAGCCAAAGTAAAAAATCATCTTAATAACAAAAGAAATAGGACAATACAGAAAACAAGCACAAACTCTTTTCTGGAAAACAATGTAAATCAACCTCTAACATCTAGATCCCTTGTCACAAAGAGCATCATGGATGAGGGAATTTTTCAGGTCACAATAGGGTTCTCTGTCTCCATAAGAAAATAAAACAGGTTTCAGTTTATAGTGTAATAAAACTAATAGTTCCCAAGTTCACATTAAAATCTAAATGCTAAAACCATAAAAACTCCCAACAAAAGGCAATGATAATTATCTGGGTAAAAAAACCCCAGAGTATACGTGTGGATGTTAAATTGTTCTTTTTACAGAGTAGAGAATCAAATATTACTTTCACAAGTGACTTTGACAAAATTAGATACATAAAAGAGAAAGCTTTTTTAAAAAAACCTCTAGGTGACCACAAGCAGAATTATAAAGACAATATAAACCTTCTAAAGGACTGCAGATGATGAAGCAAAAAAAAAAGCATAGTCCCATAATAAGAAAACAAGTAACTATCAAGGAAGCAAAACCAAAAATGTCAGAAATTCAATTAATATGATCAAATATGTTCATTATGATAAACAAACGGATTTAGAGATCCCCATTTAAAAGATTATAATTCTCAGATTAAGATAAAAAAACCAAAGTTCAACAAACTAAATAAATATACAAGCTAACTTTTTTAAAAAATAAAAAATAGTGACACAAAAGTAAAAACTAGAAGAGTAGACAAAAATATTTATCAGGCATACATAAATGAAAAACAAACAGCTAGCAAGGCTAATTTCAGAACTGTGGGGAAAATGCTTTAAATGGAACAAAGCTGGTTTAAACCTTTATGGTACTTCACAATTAAACTATAACAGTCATAAAATTATATTTTCCTAAGAAATAGCATTTTTTATTAAACATTATAAGAAATTAGTATAAACACAACTGTGGGAAACTAACCATCTTTCATTCTTAAATAACTGATTTTACAATAAAATACTCTGTGTTTTCTGTTCAATTTTGCTGTAATCCTAAAAAATAAACTTGTCCTAAAAAATAAACTTCATTAATTAAAAATATGAATGATATGACATTTGAATATTTTAAAAGGCTAAACAAATATATACCCAATTTTATATCCTAAGAATGAAGACTTATTGCCTAATATTCCCAGAACGTTGAAAATAAACAAAACAAACAAAAATATAGATCTTACTTATAAATTCCCTTTTAAACAATATTTCAGCAAATTCTAATTGTGAACACTTATCAATTCTATCACTATAAAACCTTGGGATGAGAAACCAAAGAGTGTATTTGGACCAATCAGATATGGCTCATGTTAATCGAGAGTAGGTTATATACTGAACCAAACCGTATCATAAACACACCAGAGGAATCCTGCTTAGGAGAAATAATACCTGTATAAATCTAAATTTCTGAAAATAATTTTCTTAAATTAAATTGGGCTAAACATATAAGACATACAGGGTTTTTCAAGATGTAGTCCACAGGCCAACTGCATCCGAACCCAAGGATACCTGTAAAATGCAGATTCCTGGACTGCCTTAGTAAAGCAGACATTTTGTAGATGAGATCCAGGAACATGTATTTGAAACAAGTCCCCAGTGATACTTATGCATAAAAAATTTTAAATGTAGCTTTGACATATAAGCAAGGGTGTGAAGTGTATCCTCATAAGGGCCAAGTGGCTTTCTAGAGAGAAAACCTCTAATAACTTCAATTCATGCACCTAACTGTGAACATCAACCCCTTATCTCAGAAACATGGACTTCAAACTAGTCTGTGGTGAGCCATCAGTTTCTTTTTTTTTTGAGGAAGATTAGCCCTCAGCTAACTACTGCCAGTCCTCCTCTTTTTGCTGAGGAAGCCTGGCTCTGAGCTAACATCCGTGCCCATCTTCCTCTAGTTTATACGTGGGAGGCCTACCACAGCATGGCTGCCAAGCAGTGCCATGTCCGCACCCGGGATCCGAACCAGCGAACCCCGGGCCGCCGAGAAGCGGAACGTGCGAACTTAACCGCTGCGCCACCGGGCCGGCCCCCATCAGTTTCTTTTTTAATTTCCAATCCATCGTGGACAAATGTGTAAAACAGAGTAAGAATGAATTACTAGATAAGTGAAAATTTTTAAAAAGACAGTATACATTTCAAGCCCAACTTTTTATTAGTAGATTCAACACACAAATTGCTACAAAAGTTCCCAAACACTTACTCTCAACTTCTGTACTTACTCTTGTCATGAACAGTTCATAGGGTGCTGACCCACAGGCCATGGGAAGGAGAATAAGAATGGCTAAGGTAAGTAAACCCAGCACATTCACTGGGGCAAACAGCAACAAAGCACAGTAAGGAAGTTCAGTGCACTGCACTCAGACAAAGCAGTAAGATGGAAGGGATGAACACAGGCACCTCCTTCCCTTTTTCTCTTTTGCTAGTAACTCCATAACTCTTATACTGAAAGTAGGCTTTAATTGACATTTTTGTCTGAAACTTACCTTTGTTTCTTCCCCGATTATATTTTCTCTTTCATAGTAGTGTTGAAGTTGTAGGTTGTGTTTTTCTTCTTCTTCTTTCTTCTTTCTTTCTGCTTCTTTTCGTCTTTCTTCAGCTAACCGAATAAGCTCTTCATTTTTTAGCCTTTGCTTTAGAATACAGAGAAAAATATACACTCCATATATACATTCTATAATCCACTCAAAAACCTGCTGCCTTATTTGTGTGAAATAAAGCAATACAATTGAAGATATAGGTGATATTGTGTTCTTTAACTTAAAGATGTTGTCTGCTTAACAATAAAATATTAAGTATTTTTCATAAGATCTTTAATCAGCCTAAACTATTTTTTGGCTTAAAAAAGTCATCATTTCTCTCTTTCTTAACTTAGTCTTCCACTTCAACAAAACAATATCCAGGGGCCAGCCCGGTGGTGTAGCGGTTAAGTTTGTGTGCTCTGCTTCAGCAGCCTAGGATTTGCAGGCTTGGATCCTGGGCATGGACTTAGCTAGCACCACTTGTCAAGCCACGCTGTGGCAGCATCCCACATAAGATAAAGGAAGATTGCTACAGATGTTAGCTCAGCGACAATCTTCCTCAAGCAAAAAGAGAAAGACTGGCAACGTATGTTAGCTCAGGGCCAATCTTCCTCATAAAAAAATAAAAATTAATTAATTAATTAGTAGCCAATGAATGAATATTGACCTGATATTTTCTAAATGTGGTCCAAGGCTGTTCTCCTTTGTAAATAATAAATATCTTTCGAAGTCAAAATAAAGATTTCACTTTCAGACCAAGCAGAAAAAGAGTAGGAAAGAAATGTACCTCCTCCTCTTTCTCTCTTTTCTTTTCCTGTTCCTCTTCATACTCTTGCTGAATTCGTGCCCTCTGTTCTGCAAGCCGTTTTTCTTCTTTTTCCTCTGCAATTCTCAGTTTCTCTCGCTCTGCTTCCTCTCTTTGTTTTTTTTCCTCAATCTAAAGAATTAAACCCAGTTATTACTTTGCAAAAACTACTAAAAAGTTAGAATAACACTTAATTTTTTTTAATAGTATCCTATGACTTCAACATTTATACCCTTCAACATTCATACCTTCTTGCAAGTAAAAATAAGTCCCTAAAATTTTCAATTAAGAAACACTGTCTTCTTTTGGGCATTTCTGCTATTTTAAATGCTATCTGCTTACATACATAAATTGGGAAATAATTGCAAAGTGTGATTACAACTAGTTTCTATTTATTTACAATCTAAACTACTTAGTCAAAAATATCAAATCATGTGAGGAAAAAATTGTTGATTTTCAACTAACACATAAGCATCTAGAAAGATTCATTCTATGCCTATTGGTGAATATTTTATTGTCTTTCAGTTTTAGAAATTTCAGCATTCTTTAATAATTAATGATTTAGTAAAGTTTAGAAATTATTAAGTTGACTGGTATAGCTAATATGTCTCCTTATTCCTTTTTCAGATATAAGTGAAATAATATAATTTTAGTACTATTTATATCTGATATAAATTAGATATTTTAGATAACTGCATGGAATTTTAGAATTTACTTATCCTATGGATAAAATATTTGCAAGTTCAGTTTATTAAAATTCTTACGAAACTTTGAAACTATGATCAAATAAGCAATTCACCTGAAAACGAAGAAAATTCTTGTATAATTCTTGCTGTCTAATCTGAAGTTCAGTTGGAGGCTCACCAAATATATTTCCCCGAGCAAAAGGAGAGCTCTGCGTTTGCATATGACCTTGAAAGGGAAATTTTGAAAAAACATACCATTAGCCAATGCACAGGTTAAAGAATGAAGAGTTTGCTAATAAATTCATATTTTGAAAAAATGTGCTAAATTCAGAAGTCCAGAAGTAAAAATCAGAAGACGAAGGCTAAGATTAGACTCAAGACCAAATGAAAAGTAATGAGAGAAAGAAAAATGATGAAACTGAAATAAAACTAATAGTTGAAACATCATTATGTATCTACACCTGAAAGACACCAGGGAAACATTGACGCTAACAGCCTAAACAACTCTCATTGCAGCAAAGGCTTTAAAGCAAAATTCATGGAAAGAAAAATAAGTACATGTTTAAGCTCTTATCTATGTAAATATACTTTTTTAAGAACACTAACTACACATTAAAATGTATTATGTATACATATATCAAAAAATTTCTAGAATTGTTTTAAAAAATCAGTAACTCCAAAAGTCTTCACATCCATCCATGGTTTAAATAAGAGATTAGAAAGTCAGCTCTAAAAACATTTTTAAAAAATTAGAATGACTCTTTTAATCACTGCAATAATTTTTACTTAAAAAGTCTATTGAATTAATGGGATATAAACATGAACAATAAAAATGTTATATAATACCTATAAAATAGTATTATACATTCTGGGAAAGGAAAGAAAATTATTTCACAAAAGCAACTTGAAAAATAATTATACCCCAGAAGTCTCTTTGAATGCAGGAAAAAAAAAACGATATTGGAATTTAAGCCTGACATAAATTTTTATACTATTTTTTAGTTACTGGCTCATTCTTCATACTATCAATCTAAAGTATTTTATTTGTCTCATTCATGTAGTTTGTGTAAGCTGACAGCTTTGCAATTTAGCTGCCATTTAGATCTATTTTGCCTTTGTATTTAAATTTATTAATGCTTACATGAATAGATAAGCAGACAGCCAAATCAACACTTAAACAACAAAATTAAACATCAGTCATTAAGTTTATGCTCTTTTTTGGGAAGGGGTTATGGAAATTTAATTTTTCCAGTGTTTTTACTTGGTAAGCAGAGCTACATGCCTGAAAGTGTTATTAATAAGATAAAGTTCTAGGCTGAGACAGAACTACAAACAATACTGGATGTAGAAGAAAAGCATAGAGAAGGGGTCTGTAGCATTAAGATCTCAATACAGACTACTAGAAGCAGCAGCAAATGAAGAGAAAAATAATGATCATCAGAAAGAGGCCAAAATGCTCTTCAATAATGTGAAAAGCTGTTTTGATGCTCCTGCTGCACATTGAATTATTACAGACTCAGAGTGAGAGCTAAATTAATAATTTCATCAAAATTAAAAGTTCTAATTTTAGTGCTCCAAAAATCAAAACCAGATCCACTGAGTAAAATCTCTTGTGGATCAAATTAAGAAAGCATTTTCTTGTAATCAGAGATCAAACAGTGGTACAGGATGCCCATGGAAACAACAAACAATCCATCTCCTGAAGTGTTCAAAAGGCTGCAGAAACTAGTGCTACCATCAAAGGCTTGAAAGATGTGAGGCTAGTGATTCTAATTACAGCTCCCCATTTAAACTGCCTGTCTGGCCAATAAGTCATACAGGTTAAAAATAAAAAAAATTTTTTAAAGACTATACGATCAGACCAGAATATTTCAGGACTTCCTAATATAAAGTTCTTTTCTAGTCTAAAATCAAAACTTTTGTGAAAGTGCAAAAGCAGAATTTATAGTAAATAAATGGTTACTTCTATAGGCATTAAAAATAGTGGAAGGTGGGGGCCAGCCCTCTGATGCAGCTGTTAAGTTTACATGTTCTGCTTTGGCGGCCCATGTTTGCCAGTTCGGATCCTGGGTGCAGACCTACGTACTGCTTGGCAAGCCATGCTGTAGCAGGCATCCCACATATAAAATGGAGGAAGACAGACACAGATGTTAGCTCAGGGCCTGTCTTCCTCAGCAAAAAGAGGAGGATTGGCAGCAGATGTTAGCTCAGGGCTAATCTTCCTCAAAACAAAAACACAACAAGAACAACAAAAAGAAAAATAGTGCAAGGTGGTGTATTTTTTAACCTTCTTTTGATTTTTAAATATACAACATATTTCCATGTATACTTGATAACGAAAGATGATGACAACTTTTCCTAGCAAGCCATAAAGAAAGATATTAAATAACTTTGAATTTATAGAGCCTTTAATTAAAGGATGCTGTTTAATAGCAAATCAAATACATTTACTTAAGAAAGAGGGATGTGACCAGATATCAAATTAGGTTTGGTTTGGTTTTGTTTTGTTTTGTTTTTTGGTGAGGAAGATTGGCACTGAGCTAACAACTGTTGCCAATCATCTTCTCTTTGCTTGAGGAAGATTGTCCCTGAGCTAACATCTGTGCCAATCGCCCTTTATTTTGTATGTGGGACACTGCCATAGCATGGCTTGATGAGTGGTGTGTAGGTCTGCACCCAGGGTCCAAACCTATAAACCCCAGGCTGCTAAAGCAGAGCATGCAATCTTAATCACTATGCCACCAGACCAAACCCTCAAATTAAATTTTTAACTACTTCATTTCTTTGTACATTATGATTTTATAAGAGATGGCAAATGATTACAAATAAGCAAAAGATGAATTTTGTTGTACAATTTATCATAACCACATCTGATAACATTTTCACTAATTCAAACAGTTATGGGTGTAAGGAGCAAAGTGTGTATGTGTAAAAAGACTACTTGATTTTAAGAAATGTCCTCCCACCAGCAAAACAAAAATGTTAGCAGCAGCTAAAGTATACATAAGCAAGTTACAAAGCTAAGAAAAAATACATACCATTAAGAAGCAAACTATATTTCCCTATTCACTTTTTTCAAAATACCTAAGAAGAAAAGGTACTGAAAGTAGCATGAATAATATGTTATGCTTCCTGACTCAGGATAACCAAATTCTCAAAATCACAGTAAGAACGTTGTCAGAGAACAGAAGAGAAATATTATTGAATGACTTTAGAAATGTTGGAAAAAAAAAAAAAAAAAAGGTGATTAAAAACCTGAGTTTTTATTTGCAGAGTCTTCTAGGTTCTCAGCATTTGAAGTGGCTAAATTTTGGTCTAGAGATACAACAGCCCTTTTATCTTCATATGTTCTTGCATCTGGGTTATGGTAGGCATCTACATTTTGTCTGTGCATCATATTCAAATCAGCTGAGAGGGAAAAATAAGCCATTTATTTCAATAAACACATTTCTATAATTAGCATGCTTAACACATTTTCTTAAAGTAGGAAATCGGAGAGAAAAACAATAGGACAGAGCTGGAATAATTCAATGGTATCTTGGTGCCCTGAAAACAGAAACAAAATTATCAAAATTTATAAGACTAAAAACCTTATAAAATAAACTCAAAATCAGTAGAGAACTTAAGAATATATAGCTCTTCGACAATCAATAAAAACCACATTCATAGCTGTTACTTAAGAACTTGGAATCTCTTTAACATAAAACAAACACAGCAACAATTCAAAACAAGTTATAGTGAAATTTACCCAATATCATTAGCACTTCTAACAGAAAAATATAATCATATGGAGTTTTAAAATATATCCACAAATTCTTTGACAATCCTCCCTTCAAAGATGGAGCTCAGTTCCCCTCCCCTTGAGTGTGGGCCAGAGTTAGTAACGCACTTCTTATGAACAGGATGTTGCAAAATGATGGTATATGACTTCCGAAGCTACTTCATAAAAGACATTATGGTTTCCACCTTGCTTAATGTATTTGATTACTCACTCTGAAGAAAGCCTGCTACCAAATGATAAGGACACTAAAGGAGCCCTAGGGAGAGGCCCACATGGTAAGGAAGTGAAGCTTCCTGAGCCATGGGAGGGCACCATCTTGGAAACAGACTCTCAGTCCCAGTCAGGTCTTCACATGACTGTAGCCCTGGCTAACATCGTGAGAGACCCTGAGACAGAACCACCCAGCTAAACCACTCACAAATTACAGACCTACAGAACTGCAAGATAATAAATGTTTGTTATTTTAAAACACTACATGATAGGTAATTTGTTACACAGCAATAGATACTGCATACACATGGCAAAAATCTGAGCATGCAGGACTGGGTAAAACAATCAGTCAAACTTAAAAACAGACCTGAATGATTATGGAACTCAAAAGCTTTAACAAAATAAAAAGTAGTTTTTCTCCACAAAACAACTGAGATAGTACGGGAGCAGTATAAGGGAACTTAAACCTGGATATAAGAAGTATTTATCAGGAAGCTTGTTATGTTCAAGGATGTATTTTGAACATGAATCGCAATTAGAATACCAGATGGAACATAAGAAATAACATGTGAATGTTACCAAAGAAAATGAGAGTTCAGAATCAGGAAGGTTCATATCCTATTACAACATTTAGGACAGGTTGGACTTAGAAACTGGATAGAAGCTTCACAAGTGAAGATGGGTGGGAAAGCATAATAAAGAAACAAAACAATGTAAGAAACAGCTCCAAGGGGGTAAAACATGAACGGTGTTCTGGTAACAATAAAGTAGTCCAGCTTGACTAGAGCACAAAACACACGTACGTAATAGAGCAATGAGAGGTTAAGAGAGGAAAACGCAGATTGGATGCCTATTCTGCAGTACTCTAGAACACAAGCTTACGGCTCTCTATTCTGGTCCATAGATGATAGTAGAGACAGTTTTAGTAATTATGGAAGTAGTACTAGCAAGAATGGCAGCTAAAACTTAATATTCACCATTTTTATATTCTAGACAATAACCTGCATGGGGTACTACTATTTTCACCCCAGTATTATAGACAAGAAAATCAGACTAAATCTGATCAAAGACCACAAAGCCAGTAAACTGGCAGAGCAAGAATGGGAATTCAGACAGTGAGACTCCAGAGTCCTCAATGATTTTTGAATATGGACTAATACAATTGGTTATACTCTTGATACATATAGCTTGGATGTGAAAAACAAAGGAGAAGAATGACTAAGTAATGAGGAAATGGCAACAGCTCAGGCAAGATATAAGAAATTTCAATTATGGTGGTAGTACGAATGAAAAAGAAGAGAATTCAAGGAACACTGAAGAGACAGAACCTATATAGTATATTATATAGCCTATATTATAACCTATATTATATTATAACCTACGTATAATATTATATGATAATATAGTTACAATAAATTATTATATATTATAATACATAATATTATATAATATATATATTAGGCTTATTAACTGACTAGATATGGGGAGTCAAAAGGACTCCGTATTTTTTAGTTTGAATGATCAGAATTATGACGCATTTACAGAAAAAGACAAAGATGAGCTGGAATTAAAAAGTGAAGTTTAGTTTTGCATGCTAGGTATACATAATCCACTAAACACCAGGTACAGAGATTCAGAAGACAGGTTGGAACTGAAGTGGAGAGTTTTAAAAGTGATCATGGGAAAATAAAGAGATTTGAAGATCATCTGCAGAGAAGGTCTAAAGAGAAACACAGTGGAGGAGATGCGGAAGGAGAGAATGGATGGAGGAAAGAGTATATCTAAGTTAAGGAACACATGATGTCAGAAGACAGTTCTAGAACAAAGACCATGTTCACAAACATAGAAGGGTTTAACCTGGCTCATAATACACACCCAATAACTGTCAGCTGAAGAGAAACCAACATCTGAGAGATGTTGCAACACCAAGAGAATGCACAGGACTTAGAGGAAAGAACTGTCAACCTAGTTCAAAGAGGATGAGTACTGAATAAAAACCATTAAATTGAAAATAGGGACATCAGTTATTTTTGAAAATGTGGCATCAGTAGAGTAGTAGGAGCTGGAAGTCATATTATGAAGCAATAAGAGAGTAGTAAGAACTTACAGCAACAAGCACAGACTACTTTTTGAATATGTTTTATATGACAAGGGAAGTATAGCAAGGTCAAGAGCAGAGTTTTTGTTTGTTTGTGTTTAAGAATACAAGTAACCTAAGTATGTTCAGAGGTGGAAGGCAAGAAATGAGAAGAAAAACTGAAAATGCAAGAAAGAAGGGATTGGTGAAATCACAAAGAAAAGCTGATTGCAAGAAAATTACCAAGTGCCAAGGACTGATAAGGCATGAAGTAGATAGGTGCTCCTGAAATCACCACCAAATCCTGGGATCTAGCTGGATATGGGAAGCAAACAAAGACAGATTAAGTGTTTATATTTCGTTTATGCATTGTATTGGCCCTATTAGATTTATGTTGTTTATTGAGATAATTTGCATACAATGAAGTTCATCCTTTTTAAGTGTATTGTCCAATGTGTTTTGACAACTGATTCTAATAACCACTGCTACAATCAAGATACAGAACATTTCCAATTTTCCAACCCTGTATACTTGCCAACCTCTGATCTGCACTCTGACACGATAGTATTGCCTTTTGTGTTTTACATTTTTCTCTCAGTATAATGTCTTTGAGATTTATCCATGTTGTTGCATGTGTCAATAGTTTATCCCACAAGTGTTTGTCCATTTACCAGTTGATGGAAATTTGGGTTGTTTACAGTTTAAGGCTATTATGAATAAGGCTGTTATAAACATTCACTTACAGGTCTTTGTGTGAACATAAGTTTTCCTTTCTCTTGGGTAAATACCAGGAATGGAATCACTGGGATGTATACTAAGTGTATGTTTAACTGTAAGAAACTGCCAGAACTTTTTCCAAAGAGGTTGTGCCATTTTGCATTCCCACTAGCAAAGCATGAGATTTCCAGTTACTCTAAATCCTCATCGGCACTTGAAATTGTTCATCTTTAATATTTTAGCCATTCTATTAAGTGTGTAGTGATATCTTATTATGTTTTTTAAAAGAAACTTTTTATTTTGAAATAATTTAAGTCTTACGGAAGAGTTGCAAAGATATTATAGAGAGTACCCTTCACCCATTTCCCTTAATGTTAACATCTTACATACTCTTGGCGTAGTAATCAAAATTAGAAATTAAAATTGCTACAATACTATTAATTAAATTGTAAACTTTATTTCCCCCTAATGTCCTTATGCCGTTCCGGACTCTAGTCCAGGACCCCCTGTTGCATTTAGCTGTCATGTCTCTTTAGTCTCCTCCAATCTGACAGTTCCTCTTTCTGTGTCTTTTTTGTGTTTACTACACAGTAGTCCCCCCTTATCCGCGGTTTTGCTTTCTGCAGTTTCAGTTACCTGCGGTCAACTGCTGTCTTAAAATATTAAATGGAAAATTCCATTAAAACCTATGAAAACAATCTATAGATTTTAAACTGCTCACTATTCTGAGTAGTGTGATGAAATCTTGCACCATCCTGCTCCGTCCTGCCCGGGACATGAATCATCCCTTTGTCCAGCATGTCCATGCTGTATATGCTGCCTGCCTGTTAGCCTGTTAGTTAGGAAAAAGCATAGTTTATAAAGGATTCGGTTCTATCTGTGGTTTCAGGCAGCCACTGAAGGTCCTGGAACGTATCCCCTGTGAATACTGGGGAACTAATAAAATAACTTTATTGAGATCTAATTACCATACCACACAATTTACCCACTTAAAATATACAATTTAGTAGTTTTTATTATATTCATAGAGTTGTGCTACAATCACACAATCAATTTTGGAAGATTTTTTACATTGAATTGCTTTGGTACCTTTGTTGAAAATCAACTGACCATAAAATTATTTCTGGACACTCAATTCTGTTCCATTGATCTAGTTGTCTATCCTTTTGCCCATTTCACATTCTCTTGATTACAGCAGCTTTGAAGCAAGTTTTGAAATTAAGTGTGAGTATTCCAACTTTGTTCTTCTTTTTCAAGATTGTTTTGGCAACTTGACTTCCTTTGTATCTTCATATAAATTTTACTATCAGTTTGTCAACCTCAACAAAAAAGTATGGCAGGATTTTCACTGGGACAGTCAAGAAATAATGTACAACTGAAATGTCACAATGACGTAAACTATTATGAACTCAATAAAAAATAAAACTTTAAAATATATAAACATAAAACTTCTGAAACCATCTGAAAAAAAAAGTTTGCTTCAATTCTAAACAATATTTTATAATTCAATAACCTACACTTATCCTACTCACTTCCACCAATTAAACACTTAGAGAACACCATAACTGTATTGTCTGAACTGGAGATAATCTTGGAAAGTTCTTAGAAATAACCCTAGAAAGTTCTAGGAAATTATTCTATTCCAGTGTTTCCCAAAGTTTCAGTCATTTAAGCATCTCCTTTGCAGTAACTGATATGTTTCTATCAATTCATAATTTATATTCACTGTACCAAAGAATGGCTAGATGCTTATCAAGTTGAAGTCCTCTTCCTGGGCATAAAGAAACCGAAACTTCCCAGCCCCCTAAGCAGTTAGGTTAGAACTTATAAGTAGGTCTAGACAATGGAACAAAGACAAAACTGACATTCCTCCACGTCTAGGCCAGGACCCAACAAAATTTTCAACATGTTCTCCCACCCCCTCGACCTTGTCTGCGCGGCTAGAAGTGAAGGACTTCAAAATGGAGGAGTGACACAATGGAAGAGACCCAGATTCCTGAGTCACCTCGTGGAGGAGAACCATCCAAACAGCATCAGAATGTGACATAAGTGAGAAGTAAACTTACGCTGTCTTAAGCCTCTAAGAATTGGAGGTTGCCTGTTTCAGCACCTTTCATTAAATGTCTGGACTAATACCCTTACTTTAAATGGAAATGTTACAGTACTATCCATGAATGGAAAACCAGTTGTTTTTCTAAAATACATTGAAAGAAACATTTAACTTTTTTGTGTGTGTACGAGGAAGACTGGCCGTGAGCTAACATCTGTTGCCAATCTTCCTCTTTTTTTTTTTCCCTTTTTTCTCCCCAAAGCCCCAGTACATAGTTGTATATCCTAGCTGTAGGTCATTCTAGTTCTTCTACGTGGGATGCCACCGCAGCATGGCTTGATGAGCAGTGTGTAGGTCCACACTCAGGATCCGAACTAGTGAACCCTGGGCTGCCAAAGCGGAACATGTGAACTTAACCACTCAGTCCTGGGGTCAGTCCCCATATTTAACTTTTAAAATAAGAAATGTTTATCTATGTATCACCTAAAGCCACCTAGTCTATAGAGAGAGCAAGAGTTCCAGTCTTCAAAACTGTGAGGAAAGTATTTATGAGGTGAGGATAAGAAAGGAACAAATCTTTTGGTAAGAAAAGAGTTACCTTGTTAATTTAACTGAGCCTCAAATATATCTTTTCTAAAAAGCCATTTTTACCAAAGAATCAAAGATACAAAACTAATAACTCAATATCCAAAAAATCATCTGATTTCATCACTCAACTATCCCTACAATAATGTATATCACCTGAAGAACAACATGAAATCTATATTTTAACCATTTTCATGGGTTTCTAATATTCATTTCTCATTTCTAATTACACAATTTTCAAAAACTCATTATCTTTGCTCTACTTTCATTCTTAGCTAAAAGCTAATCAGAGGTCATCCTAATATATATAACAAGTTACATAGAGTCTCTTTTCAAGTGCTTGTTGTGTGATTTTTCTATCAAACATTTTTGAGAGCACATAATAGAAAGATAAATCAATGTAATTCTGCAACCTGCCAGAAAATTTCTTACATGGGTCTTTATTTTTCAAAGGAGTGCTTGCATTGTGCAACTATATGGCATATACGAATTAAACACAACATTGCTTCCCGGCACTACTCCAGATCACTTATTTTAAAGACGTCTCACTAGTTTTTTAAAAAAACTTGTAATAAGGATTTTATTATTTTTACTAGTAAATTTTTCAAAGTTCTAACTACTAGAATTTTAGTTTGGGTAAAAATTTGCTAACTAATATAAGCTTTTCTCTGCGATTGAGTTGTTATCACCAGAGTGGGAAATTTGCAATAAAAATAAATGAATAGTATTCTGAAGAAGAAAGGCTTTCTAACCTGTTATTACATTTATTATCAAAATACCTCTTTTGATTAAGCTACATAAAGAGAGACCTCGCCTTAGTCTATGATTCTCACTTCTTTCTACTCCCCACTCTTTTCAAAAGTTAAAAATAATTTAGTTTCTTTTAAAAACAAGTCAATGGAAATAACATACTTATCAGATTTCCTCTCGCATCTCTGAGAGGAGCACCACCTCCACCTTTCCCCCAGGGGTTATAACTTCTCATTTCAGCTTCTAATTTAGCTTCATATTCTTCTTTTTCTTCACGTTCTTTCTTCCTTCTTTCTTCTCTTTCCCGAATCTTAACAACATAAGAAACATTCATAAGTGCTGACTAGTATTCTAATACAAAAAGCTAGTTTTAATATCAGATTTTATTTTATTTTTCTTATTAGAGAAAAAACTGGAGGGGCTTTTTTTCCGCATGCTTCACAATAAATTTAAAGTTGCAAGTATATGTAATATCCAATTTTAAAAACACTTCGATGGCTGGAATACAGAGATGCTGTTCCCCTCACATCATGCCACTAGAGTCCTTTCCAGCCACTGACGCCACTTTGGACTAAATCAAATCCTACCTCCCACCCACAACTTCTACCTGTGCCATTCTCTCCCTAACCTCACCAGTTCCATGGGAACCACTAAGATCGCCCTACCCTCCTTTTTCATCTCTCCTTTCATGGGACCTGGCCAGTCACAAACTAAACCCTACACTTCACCAGACCTACTCTACCCTGGGCAAATTGCACTCCTATAATTCAAAGAAGTTAAAGGTTCAGAGCTCTTTGGAGAATGGTGGACTACTATACGTAAAATTTTATGAAAGCGTACCAAACAAATACATTCTTACCATCATCAAGTATAAGCACAGGGTTGTTGTCTAGAGACATACGGGTAGGCAATGAACAAGTATTTACATTTTGGAAAGTTACATACAAAAAATAGTGTTGATAATTCTATAACTTAAAAAAAATCCCTTTTCCAAGGAGGTTGTCCACGTAAAAACTGAACAAAAGGAGCTTTAGAAGAAATCCAAGTGGACTTCATAGAAAAGTACCTCATATGGACATATACCTACCCAGAGTTCCAGGGTCCTCTCAGAGATATGAGTATTTCCCCAAAAATATCCATACATTTGACACAGTTACTCTTAAGTAAACTCTTTTCAAACATTACAAACTACAACAGAATCCACTATCTTCCTCCTTCAAAGTTCTACCTCATTTTTTGCCTATCATATGCTCCTAGATTACAACACTCAGAATCATCCACAAGCCTTCTGTTCCTTCTCATTCCTTATGTGTAAGTTCTATCGATAAAACTCCAGGGATTGTCTCTTGGAAGTCCTCCCCATCTTCCCCATCTGGTTCAAGGCCTCATCACCTCCTGGCTGGACTACCTCAATAGTTTACTGAAGGGTTTTTCTGCCACATCTCTTTCCCAACCATCTACATCACAACCAGATATCTTCCTAAAAGCCACATCTGCTCACATCAACTATTTCTTTCACTCTCTGGCTTAAAATTCCCTTCCTTTGGCTGTCTGTAACAGGATGAAACTGAAAACCCCTTATTAGCTATTCCTTCACAATCTAGCACAAACTAACACTGGAGCCCATTCCCCCACATCAATTCCATTTCATGAATACACCAGGAATTTCAAATCTATTCATTGTATACCATGCAGCTCAAATATCAACAACCATATGAAGCCCTCAACTGCCAAGGCAACTATTCTCCCTATCCTCTGCTTCCAACAGCATTCTACTCTGTTTACCTCAAAACTTATCATATTGAATTATAAATAACTCGGGTTTTTCTTCTCCTCTGCCATACTCTTAAGTTCCGAGGGACCACTGTTCTAACAGGTAAGATGTTCAACATTAAATGAGTGAATAAAGGAATGAATGAATACCTGCTGCAGCAAAGCTTCTTGGTAAGACTGAAGTGACTGTTTTGAAGGCTTTGGTTTATCTTCAAAAAACAATCCTGAATTTATTGCTCGATCACTTGTAATTTTCAGTTCATTCTGTCTAACTGTATTCCTACATCAAACACACAATTAATCATTTGAACCCATTTATGACTAAGCAAGAAGAAAATGCAATATTCCAAACAAGAAAAGATATTTCTCTGTAGGTCAAAGAGAAATCCTTAAGTAAACGACCCCTTCCTAAGTTCTTTCCCCTGTGTCTGCTTTCACAATTCATGGAACTTTCAAATTTACTGGATCTACTTCTTGATCTAGATGGCAGTTACATGGGGATGAAAAGACTTTGAGATAATTCATTAAGCAGTATACATATGATGCAGGCACTTTTCTGAATGCATAGAAATAATAATATAGTAGAAGTCCATCAAATAATATCATAACTAATGATTTACTTAAGAAATGTACTCCAGTATAAAATAATAACTTCCTAGCCATTTCAAGAATGAAATAATATATTTACAGTAAAAAGTCTGACTGCCCCAAATAAATAAAAATCTCTGAAAAAACTTACCAGGAAGCAAAAAAGCAAAAATTTAAAACATATTTTGGTTATATAAATCTCAAGCAATAAAGTGCTATTTGTCTTAAATACAAATCATGTTAACGTACAGGAACACAGCCACTTTGAAGAAAACAATACACTTAAAAAATATGAATTATAAAAGATAAACTCTATTAGTTTTATAATAAAATTGCAATTATAAAAAAGAGACTACAAAAGACTTCTCATCTCCGAAAACATCACCATCCCTTAAATAATGAGTTCCCTTTGTATATTTAACTTATCTAATTTATTTACAATTTTTTATTAGGATAAACAGATGTTTGTATATACTGGATTATGAGTGGGCAAAAGGGAAAATGAAGAGAACCAGAGCAAATGGTTCCTAACAGACCTTATACTTTTTCAGAGCAAGCATGTGTAAATGAATAAAGAAACTTGAGACGGCTTATCCAAGTAACTCAATCTCTCAAAACAAATTGGCTATAAATCACATCATGGATAGATTCTCTCTCAGTATCTATTTCACTCATTTTTCTTCCCTATCTCTTACCCCTCACTCAAGGACCTAAATTCTTAGCCTTTATTTATCAACTCCTCCCTGGCCCAAAGAGGATTTAGGGATGTATGTACAGTCAGATCAGAATGGGAGGAAGGAGACAAATGGTAGGGGTGGTACTTATACAGTGCAATAATTTTCAGTAAATTTATGGAGTTGTGCAATCATCACCACAATCCAGTTTTGGAACTTTTTCATAACCCAAAAATATTTCTCATACTCATATGCAACCAATCCCTGTACCCAACCCAGCCACAGGCAATCACAAGTAAGCGGCCTGCTTTCTGTCTCTATAGATTTGCTCTTTCTGGATATTTCATATAAATGGAACCATATGATATAGATAGATTCTTTCACTCATAATATTTTTGAGGTATGTTGTAGCATGTGTCAGCAGTTCATTCCTTTTTATCACTAAATAGTATTTCATTGCATGGATATAATACATTTTGTTTATCCACTTACCAGTTGATAGGCTTTTGAATTATTTATACTTTTTGGCTGTCATGAATAATACTGTTATGAACATTCACAGACAAGTCTGTGTGTGTACATATATTTTCATTTCTCTTAAGCATATGCTAGGATTGGAACTGCAGTGTTTTATGGTAAATATATATTTAACTTTTTAAGAAACTGCCATTTCCTGCAACTGCTTTTTGTATATTGATCTTGTATTCAGCAATTCTGTTAAAACTCCTATTAATTCTAATATTTTATCTGTACATTCTTTTGCAAATAATCAGTTTTTTCTCTTTCTTTCTAATCCTTATACATATCTTTCTTCCTTTCTTTTTTATTTTTGACCTTGCTGCAATTATTGGGCCCCAAAGGAAATGGTGATAATAAGAACACGTCTTATTGTTAATTTCAAAAAAAAAAAAGAATGTTTTAAACATATCACTTTTAAGTAAACCATATGATGTAGGTTTTTCACGTTTATACTTTCTTAGGTTAAGTAGGCTCCCCCTCACCTATTTTGTTAAGTTTTTAATCACTAATGGATACTGAATTTTATTAATGCTTTCTCTGTATCTATTGAAATGATCATACTGCTTTCTTCTTTATTCTGTTAATATGGCACATTACAGTAACTGATTTTACAATAATAATATTGATATCTAACATCAATTTGTATTTAGTATATATCAGACACTGTTCTAAACACTTTACGTATTTTAATTCATCCAATCGTCAGAAAAACTGTATGAGTTGATACCATTATCATTCCAATTAATAAACAAGGAATATGAAACATTCCTCAAGCTAATTAGTAAAACCAGGATTCAAACCAAGGCACTCTGCCTGCCAAGTCTATACTCGTGACTGATATGCACTACTACACTTAGTCATCCAACTTTCCAGAATAATTCCAAGTTGGGATGAAATATCCTTTTCTACACTATGAGGTTCAGTTTTAGGATTCTTGTATCTATGTCTATGAGTGAAACTGGCCTGTAATTCCCAATTCTCATATTGGCCTTGTCAGATTTAAGTATCAGGATTATGACAGTCTCATAATAGTAGCTGTGCAGTATTCCCTCTTATTCTAGACTATTAGTGTGTGTAAGATTAATTTTTTTCCTTGGATGTTTGGTATAATTTACCAGTCCATCCAAACACGGAGTGTGTAGGAAGATTTGAAAATTATGACCCAATTTTCTTTAACAGTTTTGATATTGTTCAGGTTTTCTATTTCTTCAAGTCAGTTTTAAGTTAAATGTTAATAGCATTTTTTCTTCTTCACTTTAATTTCCAAATTCATTGGCACAAAATTGTTCATAATATATCCTCAGTGTCTTTTTAAGGTTAATTACAACTACAGTGACAATTTTTTCACTCCTAATGTTTCTTATTTATACTTCTCGCTTTTTTTTTTCACGATCAACCTCAACAGAGAACTACTTTACCAGTCTTTTTAAGGAACCTACTTCTTTAGACTCTGTTGATCCTCTATATTGAATGTTTCTATTTCATTAATTTCTGTTCTTTCTTTTTTTCCTTGCTTCTTTGGGTTTACGTTGCTGTTATGTTTCTCACTTTTTAGATGCATGATCATTATTTTATTTTTCATCTCATTTTATGTATTTTCCAATTTGTTCCTTGTTTTCTAATTTCCAATATACTGAGTTTTTAAAGTTATTTTTAAAATGGGTTCCTACTTTAAGTGGTACATAGGATATGAGTCCACTGAAATTTATTAAGACTTCCTTTGGGGCCAGCCCAGTGGTGGAACAATTAAGTTTGCACATTCTGCTTCTTCGGCAGCCCTGGGTTCACCCGTTTGGATCCTGGGTGCAGACCTACACAGTGCTTGTCAAGCCATGCTGTGGCAGGCATCCACATATAAAGTAGAGGAAGATGGACACAGATGTTAGCTCAGGGCCAGTCTTCCTCAGCAAAAAAGAGGAAGATTGGCAGTAGATGTTAGCTCAGGGCTAAACTTCCTCAAAAAAAAAGACTTCCTTTAAGGACTAGGATGTGATCAGTCTCATAAATATTCCTATGAGAGCAACAAAAATATATATTCTGGGGGCTGGCCCCGTGGCTGAGTGGTTAAGGTCACGCGCTCCACTGCAGGCGGCCCAGTGTTTCGTTGGTTCGAATCCTGGGCGCAGACATGGCACTGCTCATCAAACCACACTGAGGCAGTGTCCCACATGCCACAACTAGAAGGACCCACAACGAAGAATACACAACTATGTACTGGGGGGGCTTTGGGGAGAAAAAGGAAAAAAATAAAATCTTTAAAAAAAAAAAAATATATATATATATTCTGAAGTTTGGGATGCATTTCCATACATTTCCATTAGAGTAAGCTTGTTAATTATGTTAAGTGAATCCTTCTATAACCTTACTGATTATTTTCTGATTTATCTATCACTTATGAAAACAAGTGATAAAGTCTCACACTAGGATTCTGTATTTGTCTACTTTCACCTGTAATTCTTTAAAATTTTGCTTTATATACATTTTGACACTATGTTTTTAGGTGCATAAAATTTTTTATTATATTATCCTGCTAAAATGAACCTTTACTTTTTATAAAAGAATACTTTTTGTCTCAAAAAAGTTTTATAAACTGAAAAACTAATTTTATTTCATCTTAATATAGCTAAACAAACTTCATTTTAATTCATATTCTCCTAGTATATCTGTATCTTTTTACTTTCAACTTTTCTATATCATTTTTTAAACATGTCTTACAAGCAACATGTACCTAGATTTTGCTTTTGTATCTAGTATGCCAAGATTTCTCTTTAAACTTGATACTTAACCATTTACTAATATCAAATTTAAGTTTGTCATTTAATTTGGACTTTTAATCGGGTTAAATAGTTTCCTTAAACCTTTCTATGTTTCTTTTTATCCTCATTTTTTGCCTCCTTTTTGATTTTTTTTCCTTTACTACATTAGTAAGTTGCACCTTTTGTCCATATACTTTTAATGGTTACCCTAGAAATATAATGCCCATATTTAACTTATCAAAGAGTAAAGCTAATCAGAATGCTTACCACCCTCTCAAATGATACAAAAATTTTGAAACACTAACCTCTTCCAAATTATATGCTATTCCTATTAATCACTCAATTTTACTCACTTTTAAACTCATAATAATTTTACATAGATAATGTTTATTGAATTCCATCCACGTATTTATTCGGTTTTTTTCTTTCCACTCCTTCATGCAATGCAGACATTCCCTCTGTGACCCCCTTCCTTCTGCATTTAGAATTGAATTTACTGAGGGTCTGCTAGTGGCAAATTCAGTTGATTCTCTTACAATATTTTTACTTCAATCTCATTCATGAAAAACAACTTCGCTGAATATAGAATGATCTCAACACACTGACAGTATCTTTAGTTATCTTCTGAATTCCTTCCTAGAGTTACTTTGAGAGTAAGGTCTTTTCTCTTTGGCTGATTTTAAGTTCCTCTGCATTTTTTATGTTCTGAAGTTTTACTATGATTGCCTTGGTATGGACTTTTT